CAGAACCATTAATAACTATATAACTATAACTATTATAAAGGGTTAATATATATATAATATAGGGTTAATATATACTATTATAGAAGGATCCAGTAAGTGTTATTTATTATATATAGAAGAGAAGAAACCACTAGAAGTAGTTTTATTCTCTAAGTCTTCTAACAATAATAAACATATACATATCCTTCTATCTGCTGATTTCTCTATCTCTTCTCCTATCTGCCCAACCTTTCTTATTATAATTTAGGCACCTATTAGTCTACTGTCTTTATAAGGTCCTTTATAAGGCTAGTTATAAGGTTAAGGTTAAGGCTATTAAGCACTTAACTAAATACTACTATTACTACTAGCTTTATAAAAAGGCACCTTTATAATTTAAATTTACTTTATATAATAACTATTCTTTTAACTATAAGGTTATTATTAACGTTATATACCTTAAAGGTAACTAACTAGTTCTTTATATTATTAATACTATAACTACCTTTAATATAGTATACTTTCTTTATAATATTTCTATAAAGACTATATAAGAGGTACTTTATTACTACTAGATTAATATCTACTAAAGACCTCTAGACTAGATTATTACTAATATAGGTAAGAACTTTACTATAACTAAATTTTTATATAAAGCCTATATAATAAGTATTAAAGTTAAGATTATCTTTATTAAGGTATACTATAGTATTAAAAAGGTTAAATAATACTATATAGTGCTTTAATAAGCCTATAAAATTATATATAAAGAGTACTTAACTACTAACTAAGAATTTATCTTTTAGAGTATAGTTAAAGTAGTTAATAACACTATAGGCCTTAATAGCCTTATACTAACCCTTTAGTATTTAGCGTTTACCCCTATATAACTACTAACTTTACCTTTTACTTAATATTATCTAATAAGTAACTACTATCTAGAAGGCTACTAATAACCTCTATAAAAGCTATATAATACACTAAGTTTATAAGGCACTTAAGGTATATAATAGCCTAGATACCTCTGTTATTAAGGACCTACTATTAAGTAGTAAGGTATAAGTATAGCGTAAAAAGAGTAAATAGTCTAGCCTATATTACCTACTATTTATTAATAGTAAGGATTATACTATTAATATTAATAGCCTATATAACTTCTGTTCTACCTTAGTTAAACCTTACTACACTAAAAGGGAAATAGGTAAGCTTATTAATATAAATCTTTAACCTAACTAACCTATAGATACTAACTATACTAGTAAATATATAGAGGATACTATTATTATTACTATAGGAACTAGAAAACCTATTTAAACAGTAACCTTTTTTCCTCTATAGTATACCTATAGGTAACTATATAAGACCCTAGTTAATATACTATTATAAGAAATAAATAAACCTTCTAGTGCCTTCCTTTTAGCTAAAGAAGAGGCTAACCTAGCACTTATATAATAACTATATAACTAAGGTGTTATTACTATACCTAGTAAACCCTTTAAATAGTTAAGTAAAAGTAAAATCTAAGGCCTTATTAACTATAGTATATTTAAGATTATTATATATAACCTTTCTATTTACTAAGGCTATATCTTTAAATCTTACTTTATTAATAAAGTTAAAGGTAAAAATAATAAGCTATACAAGAAATTATAACTTATAGTATAAGGTTATAGTAATAATAGTAAAGAAACCTTACTAGTTTAGTTACTTATAATTTAGAGAGCTAGCTAGTATATAATTCTTATGCTTACCTTTTCCCTTATAGCTAATAGTAAAGTAATATAGCTATAAGATATAATATAGGCCTATATATAATTAACTTTATAACTTAACTATACTATTTATATATAACTTCCCCTTTAGATCTATAATTACTACCCCTAAGGTACTATTATAAAGGTAGTAAAGCTATTATATAGCCTTACTAAAGTAAATACCTATTAGTAAGTAACTTATAACTACTACTACTATAAAAAACTTAATATAGTTACTACTTTATATAACCTATACCTACTCCTTTTATTTATAAAAAACCTTAACTTTATAATAATTAAAATATAAATAAATAATATAATTAGCCTAACTAGTATTAATTTCTTTAACTATAAAGATAATAAGCTTACTAAAGTAAAGCTTCTTATAAAAGAGAAGATTTTACTTATAAAGAATAAACCTTTAGTGTTTAATAAAGGGATTATCTCTTTAACTTTAGCTAAAAATACCTTTATTATACTTTACTAAAAGGGCTAAGGCATAAAGCTAAGACTTATTAACAAGAAATTACCTATAGCCTAGTAAGACTATATCTAGTAGTACACTTAAGGAGTATATATTACTTTTATCTACTAGCCTAAAGTATACTTTAACCTATCTACTATAGCCTAGTATAAGAAGCCTAATAGTAAAGCTATTTAGTAACTTAACTAGAGAATCTAGTAGTAAATAAATATACTTAACTATAGCTTTACTTTTATTCTCTTTAACTTACTTAATATAAAGCTCTTTATATTTATTAATAAATCTTTTACTAATAATTATAACTTAACTTTATAGTTAAGATTTATTATTTTTTTTACTAATAAAAAAGTTAATAATAAGTAAGGTAATTTTACTCTCTATAGTAATATTCTTTATTTTTTATTAACTAAATCTAAATAAGTAATATAAAGTATTCTTATATTAGAAGTCTATAGTATAGTTATAGGCGTTAATATAGTATATACTCTTTTTATAACTATTATAATAGTAGTAAATAAGCTTAGTAACCTATTAATCTTTACTATTACTTATACTAACTTATACTTACTATATAAGTGCTTAGTAAAGTTAGGTACTACTTATAAGAAGCACTTAATAATTAATATTATAGTACTATAATAATTATATAAGTAATATAAGCTCTTTAAGGTATAATAGATCTATAGTAATAATAACCTTACTAATAGGTTTATAAAGTCCTCTTTAAACTAAGTACTTAAGAGTCTTATCTTTTATAATAAAGTAAAAATATAGATAAAAGGATAAGTTATATAAACATAATAAGAAATAAATAAGAATAATAGGATATAGAATAATAGGTACTTAAAAAGAAAACAGGTTATATAAACTATATAGATTAATAGTAGTTAAATTTTTTTAACGTAAGTATATACCTTTAATAGCTATAGCTAAAGAGAAATACACCTAAATAAGATAGTATAAGCCTACTTTTACTAAGTAAATAAATAAATAAATTTATAGTAGTATATAACTATAAAAAGTATAATACTTTTACTTTTCTTATTTTATTACGTTTTTAGGCTTTTTAAGAAGAATAGGAGCACTAGTAACTTTTACTACATAAGAAAGTTACTAGTGTTAGTATATAGGTAATATAGCTAGAGGCAGTAGGTTACATAATACACTGCCTACTGGCAGAATCCTTACCCTTGCCTATACACAAGGGTGCTACTACACTTGTGCTCCTACTTTACCTTGTTAACTAGTTAACTATTAATAACTATAAATTTAACTACCTTTTCCTAACCTTTGTAATATTATGAGATAGGGATCCCTATTAAATAACCAGTGAAAACTAACAAGGATAATTTAGCTGCCTATATGCCTCTAATACTCCCTTAGTAGAAATCCTCCCTATTAGCCAGTAACCACCCTGCCCCACTTCCGCAAAACCTCTACTTCCGCAAATGCCGAAAATGCCGCGTCTATCCCCTATTATTAACACCACTTGTTGAAATAACAATGCCGCATGATCGTACGACAAACCTGACACAGTCGTTACGACTCAAACAACAGAACAAGAGGTCCATCAGATTGGTTACTTAGACCTCAGGTACAAACAGCAAAAGCTTATTATGCTAGACTAACTTGCTTGTGGAAAGTACTTAAGGCTAGCACACTAGGCAACGCTTAGTGATAGGAAAGATAGTCATAGATAATAGATCTTTAGTTTACCCCTTGTTTTATTATACATACATGTACAACAGTCTATTTGACACTACTACCTTTTTCAAACTATTGTGAAGCTGGTATAGCTTTATGTGGCTTGTACTAGTGGTAAGCGCCACAGGTGTGGATTACTGAAAGATATACCCACATGACCAAGGGTATTTTGACCCGGAGATCTTCGCGTATGTAGACCTAGGAAGAACAACGATTTCTCTCTTAATCGACCGGACGCTTTGGTTCATCATAGTCATGAGCCTAGCTCACACACGAAAACAACCCCTTGGATATTGTGATAACCTAGTGTTCTGTACCCTCTTTCTCACTCTATTATCACCTCGGTCTTTCGCTTCAAAGTCACAATGACTCTCGAACTGGAAAGATCAGACGCTGTGGTTCATCACATAAACTATTATAATTAGCATATAACTAGCACCTTTCCTACCATAAAGTATATCTAGCAGGCGCAAAATATAGAAGCTAGTAATGCAGATAGTCTAATGAATCTAGTGCATCTGAAATATCTAGCAAGGCCAAAAGTTGTATATGGATGGGCGGCAGACCTAGTGAAATAAGTGATGATAGTAGTGGTGGTGATGGCGGCCTGGATGTGGGGGTGGCCTGCAAGTAGGGTACTTGAGTTGAATCCTTCTCCTTTTCTGAAGCTCCGATACCTGTGCAGCTGTTAGGGGGCCATGTTGTAGGTAAAAGGGTTCAGTGCCGTGGGATGCTGAAAATGCATTTATGACCCCTTTCGGAGTGTTGAGCTGTTGCTGAACGGGTGCTGGGTTTAACTCCGTTTTGCTCCTGAGCCGAGACCTTTAGGTCTCTTTTTCAAAAATTCGCAAGCGTAAAGGCATTGAAGATAAACAAGTTTTCACAGCTCATGCTAAAATAAACGGAAGATGCAAAAACGACCATAACCATAAGACCTGTGTCAATGAACATTCTGCAAACCACATAGCCACGCTCTGCAAAGAAATTGGGACATGAAAGACACAGCAGCCGACATGGATAGACAAATACTGATTCTTTATTGGTCTGTCTTGGATGTAATTTAAGATTGTAAATGCGTAGGTGTATCAGCGATTCTCGGGGTTTCGATGGAACGAACGGCGGATTCCTCCAGCAGAAAATAATGTTTATAAACACCTAAACGGAATCGGGTATCAAGACATAAGGGAGATATTATACAGCTACTCAGTGATGCTTTTTGCGCTGCACCTTGTGTACTGCACTTCAGTTATTTTTGCATCTAAGAAGCCTACGCGTACTTTCAAACTATCTAGGTCTTCAAGGCCATGTTGGAAGCAAACTCAGTAACTACCTGCTTATCCAAGCACAATCTTTGAAACAACTTTTTCGCAAAATGCTGAAAGTGAGGAAGCATTCATAATGTCGACAGTAGTGACCAATGCACCTAGCTCATTGCGTACCCAGTTACGCACCTCCACCGCCGCCAGGGAATCAATGCCGTATACCGACAGAGGTCGGGCCGGGTCCATTGGCTCCGATAGCCGCAGCATGCGAACGAAGCACTTGTTCACGACCTCAACTGTAAAGAAATGTTAGCATACATCTACCAGGGAGGAAAGATGTCCAAATTGTAAACACGTACCTGTTGCTGCCACTTGCGCCGCAGTTTCCGCGGACTTGGAACGAAGTAAAAGCAGAAGGGCCTGCACGTCTGCGTTGGCGCTGTTGCCACCCTCACCAGATGCCTTGCCCCCGGAGCCCGACTGCAGTGCGTGGAATCGGGCGTCTTGCAAGAGGGCTGAGTCGGCGGGCTGCGGTGCGACAATGCCCGTCACCATTTGGGTATTCGACGGTGAATTCGGGAACTGACCAGCCTGCTGCAAAATGGAGAAGTAGAGGATCTGCCTGAGAAGCCCGTTGTTGATGCCTTTGAACGTACGGCTGTCGAAGTGCTTCTCTTGGAACCCTTCGTTATTGGCGATAAATCCGTCATCCTCAATCACGCCTAGGTCAATCGAGCAGGCGGCTTGTCCGCGCTGGCGGCGGTAGGCGGCGAATGAGTCGAGGAAGACGTTCGCTGCGGCGTAATTCGACTGCCCACGCTGCCCGATGACACCGGATATGCTCGAAAGCATCGTAAAGAAGTCGAGATCAAGATTCAGTCTCTCTGCTGCTTCGTGGAGGTTCCATGTGCCTTGAATCTTGCAGGCCACTGCCTGGTGGTACTCTTCCAGCATCATTGAGTCAAACGGCCGATCCTGTGTTAGTTGCCATGTTAGATTCAGTTGTCTTATTTCAGCGCGGACCCAAGAATATGACTTACGCGGAGGACCATCGCACCCTGGATGATACCCCCAATCGGAAAGGCTGTCTGGTTGAAGGCTCGCTGAACATCGCCCTTGCTAGTCACATCGGCAGTGAGAAGGTCAATGCTTGATCCCAGGGCTCTAATCTGCTTGACGATTGCTCGAGACTTTTCGTCCGTGTGCCCACTCCGGGAGATGACGGCCAAGTGCTTCGCACCACTTTTGGCCAGGTAGACGGCCAAGGCTCCGCATAGACCGCGGAGGCCACCCACAATGAGATAGGTAGCATTGTCACGGAACCGAAGAATCTTTGGAGCGCGTCGGACCTTTACAGCACAGTGAGCAGGCTTGTTACCGCAGAGGTTGAGTGTTTAGAGCTTACAGGAACTGAAATCTTCGGCTCGGGTCCGTCCGAGATTACAACCTTTCCGATGTGCTTGCCCGCACGAAGATATCGCACCGCGTTGGCAACATCAGTGAAAGAGAAGATGTGAATAGGGTTGATGGGCTTGACGTGTCGTCCCTCCAGCAGTCCGAAGAGCTTGTCCATAAGGCTAAGAAGAACCAAGAGGCAATTAGCATGCAATGCTCGAGCGGGTAGTCTCGTTAGGGATAGTACTGACCGAGCAATCAGATGGTCTGGGGCTCTCTGGTGAGACATATCTACGGCCCTCAAGGATATGTTGCGGTCGAACGGCTCCATGGCAAGGCTGTTACGATCCAGAATATCCTTCTTACCAATCTCAACCATGATACCGCCATCAGCCAGAATGCGGAACGATTCATCCAGCATGTCACCGGTCAAGGAGTTGAGAATGATGTCGACCCCTCGGCCACCTGTAGCGGCAAGGATCTGGTCACCAAAGGAAGTATCGCGCGACTTGAAGATGTGGTCGTCGCTCAGACCGAAGGTCGATCTGATAAATTCCCTCTTCTCCGGAGACCCGACTGTTGCAAAAACCTAAAAGAAACAGTTAGCTATATTCCTGTTGCAAAAATAAATTTCTGCTGTTAATTACCTCGGCACCGGCATATTGGGCTAGCTGCATCGAAGAAATACCGACGCCACCCGCCGCTGAGTGGATGAGTACGGTCTTACTGGCATCTATGTTGGCCATATCGAACAAAGAGTAGATGGAAGTCAAGTAGACGCCGCAGAGAGTGGCAGCTTCTTCGAAAGACATCCAGTCTGGAAGGGCATGTACTCGTCCAGGTCGGGTACGGACACGATTGGAAATAGTGGCAGGAGTGAAGACCACTACGCGTTGTCCGACATGAAGCGATGTCACGCTCGGGGAGACTTTGGTGACGATTCCAGCCGCTTCTCCGCCCAATTCGCGCTCATCACCGGGTACAATACCCATGGTAACAACAACGTCTTTGTAATTGAGACCAGCTGCGTATACCTCAACTTCGACATAGCCGTCCTCGAGCGGAAGAGGCTCTGCCGTCAGCTCATGGTAGTGAATGGAGTCCAAATCTCCCAGGCGCTCAGCGCCCATGTTGATGATGGTCTGGCTAGCATGGATGTCCAGCACCTCAGTCTTGCGGTCGCTAGGATGATGGCCTTGAAGTTTGGTGATCTCCCAGTCTGGTAGCAATCGGCTAACATGAATTACGCCACCTCTTTCGACGAACTCGCTCTCAAGCTGGTCTTGGAGCTCAGCTTGGAGTAAGTAACCAAGACAGGTGACAATGGCTGCACCAGTAGCATCTCCAGTAGGGTGCTCGACATCCAGATTGACCAGGCGGACACCCTCTTCGGCACGGATGGAGCGGAAGAACCCACTAATCGCCGCGGCGTTGGGATTGGTTACGCTGAGATGGGCACCGGAAGTGACCCATAGGATCTTGCTTTGTTTTTGAATGAGGTGCTTCAGAATTTCCCATTGTTTAGCATCTGGGTGGACCATGACAGGGCTAATCAGCTCGTCAAGAACAAGGACAGGTTGTCCAACAGAGATGGTAGAAGGTACAAGAACTTTCTGGACATTCCATCCGTTCTGAATGATGTGTCCCAGAATCTTGCTGGACGCTTCATGCATGGAGTCAGTGAGACTGATGAAGTTGAGTGTCGGGAGTGCCACATCTTGAACCTTTTCGATGGGTTCAACTTGGAGAATGGAAACATTGTCGTCGAGTGACTGAGCATTTCCCAGCGCTTTGAGCGGAATTCCGGCGCCAACGCCCACAATAATGCTTCCAGTCCCCACAGACTGGGAAATACTGCCTAATACTTGGTCGCGAGTCGTCACATCCACATGCTCCGATGCCTTGACAATGACGAGGTCGAATTTGACATCTGATACGATTGCATTGGTTTTGGTGATATCAAGCAAGACAAACTGGGCCGATGGGGCGTGAGACGAATGCAGGCTCTGGGCACTAACCAGTGTCGTAGGATCGCTCACAGCAAAGCTGTACTGAGAAGCGGCGGCCCGGATAGGGTTGGGCTCTTCTTCAACCCACAGGCTCGAAGTGTCCCTGGGGCTCATGTTCAACTCCAAAACTTTGAGCGTGGGGTTCTTGTGTGCAATAAGATTGATCAGGTCTCGAGTCGTCTTGCCGGTTTCTCTCAAGAAATGCCGCAGTTTAGGCTCCGGTGCAGATAACAACAGGGAAAGATCAGCTTCCCACGCCAGATGTGTGACGAGATGCTTGGCACCCTCCTCTTCGCTAGTTTCGATATCACGCGTGGTAAGGCCCTTCATCTCGAAAATGAGCGAACCGTCTCTCGGGTCATAGAGAGACAGGTCGGAACCGTAGTTGCGGTGAAGGTCCTCTCGTCCAATACCGAGGAAGCGCGCCGATGCCAGAGCGATTGCCTCTGCAGGCTGGTCTCGGCGCATGGGGATCACAAGACTGCTAAGAACCTGCGGCACATGCACGGCTCCCACAAGTGGGATGTCGCCCTTGGAGATGGCCAGGATTCCAATGTAGAAGCAGGCATCAATACTGGCGGGATGGATGGGATAAAATGATTGTCCGTACGTGGACGGCGGGGGATCCATTGCAACAGTCGAACGGCTTTCGGTCTTGCCCATGGTGGCCTCGAACAACAGATGCTTCTGAAAGCAAGGTCCGTAGTTATAGCCGGACTCCCGCACCGCCTTGTAGATCATGCTGGCTGGAGTGGCAAGCTGTAAAGGCTCCAGGGACCCGCTTGGGGCCAGCGTTTCCTTATAGTCAGTTTCGACTGAGATCAGACCTGCGCAATGCTCGGTGTAAAGAGTTTGCTTGGTCGAACAGACGCGGAACTCGTACCAGTCGCGGATGGACCCTCCACGCGCTGGTGTAAGGGCCAGTGTGTATGTAACAGGCTCGTCTTCTTCGAGAACCAAGGCGCGAAGGAAGCGGATATCGCGGAAACGGAACTGGTATCGGGAAGGCTCTTTCTCGTCCCATTTAGTTACCATAGCCACTTGGTACATAGCTTCCACTGCCATGGCGCAGTAACCAGCTCCTGGGAAGATGATTTGATTGCCCATCATGTGGTCTCGCAGCCAGGGCATATCCCCCAGTCGAAGGGTTTTCTGAAAGATTGGGGACTGCCAGGCGGTGCCGTTCATCTTAGAGCCTAAGAGATCGTGGTAGATAAACTTCTTGAACCGCCAGTCTCGGCTGGCTTGGGTCTCATGCCAATATTTCTGGGTATGGTTCCACATGTAATTAGGCAGGTCGACAATGACTGAAGGCTTCTTCGAGGTGTGCGTCCGGTTGACCTGTCTGAGGTCCACATGCCCGCCGAGCAGGAAGACCTGGCCGGCGACGCTATACAAGGACTGGACGGATTCCGGCCCACGCTTCAAAGCCGAGGTGTAAAACGCGTCTGCAGGTGCACCCGACAGTGTCTTTTTGATCTGAGCAATGGGACCTGAAAGAGCATTGCTGGGACCGATCTCTATCAGGAAGTCGGCTCCGGCCTGCGCGTCTTGGAGAAGCTCCTTGGCTGCCTTGGTAAACCGGACGGGAGAAACCATGTTGCTCTTCCAGTATGATGCATCTGGCGCTTGTGTCAGGATCTCGCCAGTGACGGAACTGAACATGTTGGCTGTGGGTCTGCTTGACGATATGGTGGTGTTCTCAAGAAGCATCTTCTCATACACCTCCCCAATTGGCGCCATGTAGTCCGAGTGGTACGCAGCATCGACTAATAGAAGTCTAGCAAAGTGGCCGTCTTGCTTCAGGCGCCCCTCAAGCGACTTCAAGGCCGCGGCTGTGCCGGAGAGTGTGAGACTGCTGGGGCTGTTGTAGCACGCTATCTGCACCTTGCTCTGGGGTTCAAGGTACTTCTCAACCGTCTCAACGTCGACGCCAACAGCCAACATGCCCAGTGGCTCCTTTGGCGGAAACTTCTTCGTCGCTTGACCGCGGTAGTAGGCGATCTTGATGGCTTCGTCAGGTGTGATGAAGCCGGCGGCGGCAGCCGCCGCGATCTCGCCGGATGAGTGTCCTACCACAGCCTTGGGGTGAATGCCCCATTCTTTCACAAGTTCGAGGATAGCCAATTGTAGCGCAGTCACAAGAGGCTGGGAGAATTCGGGCTGCCTCAAGGCTTCGGCGCTTCGCTCCTGGGTCAGCTCCTCAAGCAGAGACCAAGTGGGAGGGTCCGGAAGTCTCTGGAGGACTTGGTCGAGCTCCTCGATCACCTCCTTTGCCAACGGGAAAGCCTTGACGAGGCCTGACCCCATCTGTGACCACTGGGCCCCTTGGCCGGTGAAGACAAATCCAACTCGAGGTTTTGAGGCAGCCTTCTGACCGAAATGCAGTTGCCTCTGATCTATACTGCTACCGGTGTGGCTGACCAGGAAAGCACGGTAGTAGTGGTGAGTCCTGCGCTCAGCGAGAGTGTAGGCCAAGTCATCCATGTTGACCGCGACGCCAGGATTGATCAAATGCCCGGAGAGCGTGCTGATGTAATTCTTCAGAGATACCTGGTCGTTGGCCGAAAAGACTAGGACTTTTGGCGCGGCATCCTGAGCGGCAACCAATTCACCATCATCATCGTCATCGCCAAAGAAGTCGGAGGTGATTTTCTTGTAGGAAGACACATGGCTTGCGAATGGGGCATTCTCCAGAATGGCGTGCGCGTTGGAGCCGCCAAAGCCAAATGAGTTGACACTCGCACGGCGCACGTCGAGCGTCGTCTTGGGCCATTTGATGGATGTGCGCGTAGCCCGAACACGAGAGCCCGCGAAATCGATGTTGGGATTAGGGTTGATGAATGTAGGATTTCCGGGGATGATGCCATGCTCCAGGGCGAGAACGGTCTTCATCAAGCCCGACAATCCAGCTGCTGCCTCGGAATGGCCGATGTTGCTCTTTATAGACCCGATCACAAGGTCCTGACCGGGCTCGCGGGTGTTTGCGAACACCGAGGCAGCGCCCTTGACTTCGATTGGGTCTCCAGCCGGTGTACCGGTCCCATGGCACTCGAGGTACTGCGTATCATTAAAGTTCGTGATGCCCGCGTTGGTATACGCAGCTCTGATGGCTGCCGACTGGGCTTCGGCACTGGGACTGGCAATACCGGGTGTACGGCCGTCACTGTTGGTGGCGGTTCCTCGGATGACAGCGCGGATCGGATCCCCATCTCGCAGCGCATCGTCCAGTCTTTTAAGGTAGACAACGTTCATGCCTTCAGCTTTGGCATAGCCATCAGCTTTGGCATCGAAACTGTGGCATTTGCCTGTGGCGGACTGGGTCATCCGCATCATTCCGATTTCTTCATTGTGCTCGGGCGTCAGCCACAAACTGGCGCCGGCAACCAGCACGCCATCTGCCTGGTGAGTATCGAGATACCGGCAGGCCACCTCCACCCCGACGAGACTGGCCGAGCATGCCGAGTCAACCGTCATACTGGTCTAACGGTTAGCTAGCGGCACGTTGTTCTCAGCAAGGTTTTGGCAGCATTATGTCTTTACATACCTAGGGCCATGGATGTTTAGGAAGTGACTAATTCGGTTGCTCAGAATGGACCAAGCCACGCCTATCGTCGCCGACTCGGGGCGGTTTTCGGGATCACGACTCTGCATGGATGCATAATCTGTTTAAAATGATTCGTCAATGCTGTGTTGCTTGGCTAGTGGCCAACAGATGATATTGGTCAGTGTCACATACCCACGATGTTGGTGCCAACAAGGCATCCGACCTGTTTCCCACTGATGGCTTCGAGCGGGATGCCTGCATTCTCCAAGCACTCGTAGGCTACCTCGAGGAGAATACGTTGCTGCGGGTCCATGGCAATGCAGTCAACGCGGCTGATGTTGAAGAACTGCCCGTCAAAGACCTCTGGGTCGACGTCCTCCATGAACATGCCACCAGGGCTTTTCATGGTTCGCGGCCGACGGTGCTCATCATGATGCCCAGACAGGCTGAAGCGCGTAGCCGGTGGTTCGTTCTTTGCTATACCTCCTCGCTGCAGGAAGTCCCAGAGCAAGGTGGGTGAGTTGCTGTGGCCTGGAAGACGGCAGGCCATTCCGACAACAGCGACGGGTACCTGGCTTCTCTGAACGCCGCTGTTGACCATAGCGAACGAGTTGCCATCCTCGCTCGAGCACGCAGGTGTCGATCTGATATCTGGTGAGTTGTGCATGGTGATGGTTCACGAAGTAAGAGGGGAGTGTGCTCGTATGAAGGGAGTGGCAGATGAAGATGAACTAAGCGGCAGGCGGCCTGGTGCAGGCTTTAATATGTTAATACCCGAAGCTGGATTGAAATAGTTCTTTCCAAAGGGTTTCTAATGTTATGAATCATTCCCTACTAAGGTGGAACACTCGAGATTTGCGATATATAGCTATTCTACATTTGTTGGTGAGATACGCTTTCTATCGTTCCTCTGTTTGAAACGGTCGCCAATGCATGATTATAGACAAGCTGACAGCGAATGCAAGTAAGCAAAAACATGCAGGGTAAGCACATACCGAGATTAGTGACAGCTGGGGAGATGTGTGTACCATCGGAAGCGGATAGAGTTAGGATATCAAGAGAATACCATGAGGGTCAAGCCAGGACCGGAAGAGGCCATCTTGTCCGGCCCGAAGGGTCAGTCTGCTGCTGTATCTTGTTTCAGAGCTTCCCAGCGACATTATTGCTTACAATATGCCGATAGTCTACCCTCCGGGCGAGGGTAATCAGATTTCTTTCTTACGAAAACGAATCGGCCCGGGCTGAACCCTAGTGTCTAGGATACACGGTTTGCCGAGTTGGTTTCCATCCGTCGGGACTTAAAGCTTCCCGGCATCAGGAGCTCACAACATGAACAAAACCACCATCTACAAACTATCTCAAGCCAGGCAAACAAATATCTCTCGAGGAACAACATCATGGCTGGCCACGAAGACGTTGAGTTCAAGACCATCGATGGACTCACCCTCCGGGGCTGGCTTTACCCTGCGGCAAAGAGGGGAGCCGCCATCATCGCAACTCCTGGGGTACGTTCTAGTTCTCGATATTGTTGTGGACAGCAGTGAAGCCGGGCCTGACCTCTTGCAGTTCAACTTCACCAAAGAGACCATGGTCGCAGAAGTTGCGGAGTACTTCCAGCGCTATGATTTCACCGTGCTCATCTACGATCCGCGCTCCATCGGGTTGAGCGACGGCGCGCCGCGCAACGAGATCCATCCCTCGCTAAACGTCGAGGACTATCATGATGCTTTGACTTTCCTCAAAGGTCATCCGCTGGTAGACCCGAAGCGCATCGCCTACTGGGGCTTCTCGTACAGCGGCATGCTCGCGCTGGTGGCGGCAGCCCTGGACAAACGAGCAAAGGCAGTCGTGGCCATGTGCCCTCTGACAATCTGGGAGTTTCCGCAGGACAAGTGGCCGCGTGTCCTGGCCAAGGCTTTGCGGGACCGCGAGTCGCGCGCGGCGGGCAATAAGCCCGTCTACATCCCCATGTTGACCGCCGAGGGGGAGAATCCGGCAGGTTTTGGCAAAGGCTTCGACGTGGAGGGATTCAAGATGATGGCTGGGGCCAAGGAGCTGCAACCAACCTTTGAATTGGAGACGACGTTAGGCAGCTATTACCACATAGCCGCCTTCCAGCCCATGGGGCTCATTCCTTACGTCTCGCCCACTCCAGTAATGGTGGTCACGCCAGAGCATGATGCGGTCTCGCCGGCGGAACTCCAACGGACCGAGATCTACGAACGACTCAAGGAGCCCAAACGACACTTGATAGTCCCGGGTAGAGGTCACATGGATGTGCTGAGTGGCGATGATTTTGCGAAGGTGCTGGATGCCCAGGTTGCCTTCCTGCGCGAGATCCTAGGGGTCTAGCCTATTCTCCCTCCATTTTCTACTAGTTCTAGATTCCTGTCAGCTTCGAGCTGTTGGCCACGATGGAGAGCGATAGAACACCTAGGTACTGTGGTATTATGGATTTACCTACCTTTGAATCCTTGATCCGTGCTGAATCCTTCTCGGTATGGGGGCGCCCGCTAATGCACACCAATCTGCATGCTTACCTGCATGTAAGGTTGGTATTCCTAAACCCCAGGCAGAAGCGACAGCAAGGGGGCGTGAACAAGAAGAAGCCATGCTATGAGACAAGATGAGAAACGTACAATGACAAACGATTGGCCCACAAGCGAGCGCCTTATCAGTCGGCTGTAGAAGGAGATGGCTTTCAGATGAACCCTACTTGGCGTTCCTAGACCCGAGCGCCAACTAAGGGATGCTTAGCTACATGCTTACCTGCATGTAATCAGGCTAGATATGTGTGGGTGTACTAACCATAGCCCAGGACAACTGGTCTGAAGCATTTCGTCTGAATTCGGACCCGGGAAACCGGCTCGTCGAGGGTCTGCGCTCGTCTTGGACATCGCCCTTCCCTTACTGCCAGGGCGGGCCTATGGATCCTGTAAAGTATTTTGGTTCATCGGGCCTGAGAAAAGGATTGATCTGACTTCAGCTTTCGTAAACAGACATCGAGTAGGCAGGGTCGTTGCGGCAAGGCCCCGAATCACATAGTATAAAGAAAGTGCTTGACGCAACTCTGGTAGGGCTTTCGACCACCGCACGGAAATCAGTCATTTAGATCGATTTGAGTTTCTTGGCTTGCATTGACCCTGAAAGTCAAACAGCATGAAGATCATTGTCCTCTTCCTTGTCACCACCGCTCTTGCAGCGACGTCGCAACGACCGGCTGCATGTCGCTATATCCCCGGGGACCGTGGTTGGCCCAGCCCGTCGCTCTGGAACCGCCTGAATGCAACGGCCGGCGGGCGTCTTCTGGCCACGAATCCTCTTGCTCACTCGTGTCACGATCCCACCTACTCCGATGACACCTGCACCTCCCTGCGGCAGCAGTGGGGACGGCCCGACCTGCAAATCCCACATCCGGCTGAGTTCCTCTCGCCCTGGTTCCAAAACCAGTCTTGCGTCCCATTCACATCCCGGTCCTCCGCATGCGAGCTCGGTAATTACGCCAGTTACTCCATCAACGTGACGGGGCCCCGCGACATCGTTGCTGGGCTGGCATTTGCGCAGCAAAACAACGTGCGGCTCGTTATCAAGAACACCGGCCATGAGTGAGTTTCCTTCCTCTGGTACCCCCCGCTGCTACCTACCTCGGAAGACTTGATTGTTGTACAGAACTGACCCTGTCTATATTATGGGTTTGATAGTCAAAACGGCAAAGGAACTGGCAAGGGGGCTCTTTCCCTATGGACACACAATTTGAAGGACAAGACTTTCATCCCCGCCTATAAGAGCAGCTATTATACGGGCCCAGCCGTCAAGCTCGGTGCCGGCGTGCAAGGCGGAGAGGCCGCCGCCTTTGCGCACGAGAACGGCGGTTACCGCGTGGTTGTGGGCTCCTGTCCGACAGTCGGCGTGGTTGGCGGTTATACGCAGGGTGGAGGACATTCAGCCCTGTCGGGGGTGTACGGGCTCGCAGCTGACAACGTGCTCGAGTGGGAGGTCGTGACCGCGGATGGGAAGCTCCTCACCGCAACGCCGCAGAAGAATAAGGACCTGTACTGGGCTCTCAGCGGCAGTGGTCCCGGCACGTACGGGGTCGTCGTGTCGATGACGACTCGGGTTTTCCCCGACGCAGCTGTCGGCGCGGCCTCGTACTCATTCAGCATCGCGTCGACAGGCGGTAGCGAAGACGCCTACTGGAAAGCTGTGTCGACCTTCCACGAGCAGATGCTCCCTCTACTCGACAAGGGTGTCTACACGACGTACTCGGTCACCAACACGAGCTTTATCGTCCTCGCCTTCATAGCGCCAAGCCACAACCAGACGGAGCTAGAAACGCTAATGCAGCCGATGCTGACGGCGCTGGTCCGGCAGAATGGCCTCAGCCCTGAATCGGTCAACCTCCAGACCACCGGTGCCAGCAACATCTATGATCTTCTTGCCGCCAACGTGTGGCCCATACTCGAGAACGCCTCCCTCGTCGCCGCCCAGGGCGGTCGGCTCGTCACCCGCGCCAATCTCAAGACCGACCTCCCCGGAGTCATGGCCGCCATGCGTAAGATCACCTCCGGCGGCACCTTCTATCTCGCCTGCACCGGAATCAACACCACTACTTCCAGTGTCGTGCCCCCTGTCGCCGATAATGCCGTCCTGCCCGCCTGGCGAGACACCTCCTTGAGCTGCCTCATCGGGACTGCTTGGGCCTGGGGCCAGTCGTGGGACCCAGTCTCGGGATGGCAGAAGGAGCTGATCAACGAGATTCTGCCAGCCATAGAGGCCGTGACGCCGAATTCGGGAGCCTATCTTAACGAAGCCAATTTCGCCCAGCGGGACTGGCAGCGCCAATTCTACGGGAAAAACTACGGTCAATTGGTTGCCATCAAGAAGCTCTATGATCCCCACGATATGTTTTACGCGGTGACAGCTGTGGGAAGTGAAGCGTGGGCCGCAGACGGGCAGGGGAGGTTGTGTCGGACTTGATTCAGGGTTATGATGGACTCGGAAGCCTGTGGATACTAGAGGCGCAGCTAGGTATATATTACTGTGTAGACCTGGGGGCTAGACTAGACAAGATAGACTACGTTTTCCTTAAGTTTTAGCTTAACATACTCAGAATGTAGATCTAATTCCACGAGGCATGCTACCCTCTCTTTAAGAAGTTCAGTATTTGTCGATTTCTAACCTCTAGGTCATTAACTCTTACATATGTTATCTCTACTGTATCTTTATACCCCTCCTTAGATAGTTTACCTAAATTAGTAATCACTTAGCACCTTGTCTAGCACCGTCTCGCCACGAGCTCTAAGTCAGTACCACTCTGCAACAGCATACCAACCCCCACCTCGAAGCCCTCCATCACGGCTAGGTGCAACGGTGTGTTCCCGTCAGCGTCGTAGGCATCCAGCAGAAACCTGAGCCTGTCATCAGCCAGGCCGAGTGGGCCGTGGGTATTGGCAGCTGTGTCCCCCATCTCGGCCAGCAGCAGCCGCAAGACGTGCTCCCTCCGATGCAAGACGGCCAAATGCAACACGGAGCGCTGCATGTGGTCGACGCCGTTGTAGCAGGCTCCAGCGTCCAGCAGGATGCGCACCACGGTTGCATGGCCGGCAACGACGGCATGCATGAGAGGCGTGCGGCCCTCACTGTCAGTGGCATTGCAGTCCATGCCGTGGTGGCGGAGGAGCATGTGGACGATGCGGTCGTGACCTTTTTGGGCGGCAATGTGGAGAACGCCAAGGTATTCATAAGCCAAAGGAGGCTTAAGGGCTGTGCATGGGGGAGCAGGAGGAAAAGAAGGGTTAGGAAGGGCGGCGGCTGACAGATAATGACCCGGTTGGTGGGAAGCAGAGTTGTGATGCATCTTGGTGGTGTTATCTACTGTGAATGATGAGGGGTCTATCTGAATGTATTCGAATGGACTTTGCTGGAGATTGAAGCCGGAAGATGACGAGCAAGTGGACGGCGACGTTTGGGAAAAGTGATAGAAGGGTGATGGCATCTCCTCCACACCTATATCTTCTGTTGGTGCTGTTGTTGTCGTCGTCGTCGTGCCGTCCGGGAGATAGAAGCCGTAGCAGAAGCTGTTGTCGTGAGATTTGATGACGGTTGCAAAACGGGATGGAGTGTCTTCGGACTGCAGTTCGAGCTGTGACAAGGTGGATTCCGGGGTTGCAAACTGGCCACCACTGATGTCCTCGGCGGCATTCTGCTGCTGCTGTTGCTCGCGTCGTTCTATGGGCAGGGAACCCCAGTGCCCGTGTTAGTGTTACCAGGCGGATGATTACACGAGGGGATAGAGTGATACGGGCAGAACTTAGACTTACGGCGGAATCTGCGTTGCGCATTGCGATTCTGGAGCCGGCGGCGTTCACTGATGGCCGCAGCTGAGGGAACCTCAAGTTTCACCGTACTCCCGGGCCCTCGGTCGGCATCTAGAAGAGAATACTGACGGACGGAAACGTCGTCAAAACGCATTGTGATGGAAAGGCAGTCGACGATGATTCATCCCTGGGACAGCTGGGAGCCAGCCTTGCCAAGCTTTCTCAGACGGGCAGGGCTTTTCTAGCATTATCATGGTCGTCTATGATGCGAACAGCCTGCGGCCCGTTAATCATTTGCCACAGATTGCGCCATCAGGCTAAGAATACGCCAGTAAGCCAGTATATACATCGTCTCGAACATAGCCTGTCACGGCGAAGTATCTGGCGCACCTTCGCAGCCCCCCTCTCCCGTTGGGGTTCCAAGATTCGGCCCTACGATCCACCAAGCTTTTGTTTGCCTGGATATATATGCATGTCAGACGTAGGGTACCATAACTTTTGTGCTGAGTATTGGACATGATGCTTGATACTGGGTTTCTGTCAAAGTACAACAACGAAAGTGGAGACACCCCCAAGCTGCTTGTACTTTGTTAACTGCTATATACTCCGGCACTTCAACAGTTTCTCCAACGGTGTTACTATCAATATACCTGTGCGACTTTTAGGAGGAGCCGCCCCCTTGCAAATGCACCCAAGTTTGTCTTCTAGACACGTCACCTATTGCGCCAGGCCTTATCATAGGTGGGTACAGCATGTGAGGCTTGGGGGCTGAGGTGAAGTAAACATTCTTTGACTTAACCCCCTTACTTGCGAAACACCCCTACATCCAAAACACCATCACCACTTGATTCACTACCTCTGCCGCCCACCTATATACAACTTTTGGCCTCGTTAGTGCTACAGTCAGGTTTCCTGACAGTAGGGTTTCTGCTAAGAGTAAGCAGAGGTTGATACTCGGTAACAGTAGTGTGGTCTTGCTACACTTTGACAAATTCAAGGCCACAACTACGGCGAATTCGCCAGAGATACACCATCAATATACGCCCAATTAACCAGGAATATTCGTTGCAATTGGCCAAGGATAACCGCTGTATCCACGCACTTCAACAACATGATCCATCCTTCTAGCTATACTGGAGTAACACTCTGCCTGCTCCGCCAATTTGCATTTTGCCTAAATATACGGCGCCCACTTCTCCTCACACCATGCCCAGAGCTTCGCACCGTATCCGAGACCCCCTTCCTCCTCGGAATCTCCTGCTTCGATCAGGTCCGGCCGTGAGGTGACGGCATTGGGGCGAATCCGTCCCCAAGGGATGATGTAGGACCCGCTACTCTCCATCGTTACATCGGGCGACAGTCCAGCAAACAACTCAGTGTAGGCACCGTAGATTGGCTCCGACAGCATGACGTGGTTCATGATGAACATGAGAGGCGCTGGAGTGCCGTTGAATGAGGCCGTCTTGAGGTAGCCGGGGTTGAGGCATACGCTGACGATGCCGTCCGGCTTGTGCCGGCGCGCGAATTCGCGGCTCAGAAACCAGGTGCCAGCCTTGGACGCCCCGTAGTTCACCATTGGCTTGCTCGTACCCTTATCCAGCGCGTTGAAGTCGATGCCGTTGGGCGGCGACCCGGCTTCTGCCAGCCCGCTGGAAGTCCAGATCACACGCGTCTGCCCTGCCGGGGAAGCGGCGGCGGCAGCGCGCAGCTGCGGAACGAGAAGCTGCGTGAAGAGCAGGGTCGCGATGCAGTGGCAACCGATCATCGGCTCAAAGTCCTGCGCCGTACGCTGGCCGATGGCCACTCCGTTCGCGCCCGTGCCGGCATTGTTCCACAGCACGTCCAACCGTGACTCCTGCTTCGCAAAGGTCTCGGCAGCCGCTTTGACGACGGTGAGGTCGTTCAGGTCCAGGTGTAGGAACTTGAGCTGCCCGCTCGTGGCGACATCGGTGGATTTCGTAGTGATGCCTTTGATGGCGGCTTCCACCTTGTCCTATTACATCAAGAAGGGCGTCCGGATTAGCGGGTTAAGGCCCTCTCATCTCGGCTTTCTCTTTTCTGCGGGGAATTGGTAGATGCCAAACTTACCTTGGATCGCGAGGCGATGTAGACAGTGGCGCCCGCGGCGTAGAGTATCTTGGTCAGTTCTAGACCGATGCCCGCGTTCCCGCCCGTCACGATACACACCCGGCCCCGCTGCGAGCCGGCAGGCACATCAGCCTCCGTGAAGGTCGGTTTTGGTGGGTAGATCTGCGTCAGTGTCGCGCGAAGGCTGGAAAAGGGCGCCATTGCAGCTCGTTGTGGATGATCTAAGGATGCTGGGAGGATAATGGGACTTCTGCTGTCGCCAGGGCGGAAGAAGCTTTGTGGGCAGAGGGAGGTGACGGCCTATCCGTCGGGGACGGGGCAGGCTCTAGGTAGGTATTAGGCTCCAAGCTACATTGGATCTGCAAACTTCCTGAAGGATTTCTAAGCATGGGAATGTGAACGAGAAACAGGTGTAGTATGGAATGCAGGGGTCGAGTTGGCGCCCGCTGCATGGTCAGCATCTTGCAGCCAGGTGTTAGTGTGAGCGCAGATATCCCTACTGGCCAGGATGGCATGGAGGCACTCTCACTGGCTGGTTTACGCCAAGTGAATAATCCACCGGCTGCGCGTCATCTTAGTGTGTTCGGACGGGTATTCGGCAGATGCGCCGTATTAGCTCGATGCTTATTGTGTAACATATTAGGTGTGCAGGATCGCTACGGCTTGCCGGAAGCTCGAATGATATATCCCGGAATGCGGCGTGGGACCGAAGGGGTGTGTCTCTCTGGTGGCGTCTGCGTGAATCTCAGCCCTGCACGATTACCTGCCGTCATCCAGATATTCGCGGTTACAGATAATATAATTCCTCACCATACATACTGTACCCACTAGTATTCGGGCATGTCCTAACATAGAACAGCGGAGGACATCTATACCGCTCACCATTGCGTTTCTGGAACGACACCATGGATCTGGTGGGTGACTGTCCGTAAAAGCCTAGCTACTGGATGTGAAGACCCAGAAGAATAGATAGGTAGACCTCAATCGTCGCCAGTCTAGACTTCCACCGATTCAGTTATCCTCTCGGGAACAGAAAGAAGCCAGTGATGGAGTCCTTCAATCATTCGAGTCGATGGCCGTTACTCGACGGGCTCGAATCTCGGTCAAACTTCATGATTACAACTACTGCCCTTGTCCTCCTCCTTGGCTATGTCACCGGAGTAGGGATCTACAGGCTCTACCTCAGCCCTATCGCCAAGTTTCCGGGTCCAAAACTTGCCGCCCTGACAGGACTGTACGAAGCCTACTTTGACCTGGTCCCTAAGGGTGGTGGGCAGTTCCCATTCGCCATTAAGCGCATGCACGACAAGTACGGGCCGATCGTGCGCATCAACCCGGATGAACTGCACATTGACGACCCAGACTTCTACGATACGCTGTACCCGACCAGCAAGCCTTACGACAAGCTGCAGCGGCTGGAAAACCGCTTCGGAATCCCAGGGGCCACGTTCAGCACAGCCCGCCATGAGGTGCACAAAATACGCCGAGCAGCCATCAGCCCCTTCTTTGCCAAGTCCAAGGTGCGTGAGCAGACGGGCGACATCCAGGCGCTTATGAACACCATCTCGCACCGCATGACGACTGAATACGCCGGCACCGGCCGTTTGCTCAACCTGCACGACGTCTGGCGTTGTTTCGCCGCCGATAACATCATGGACCTGGTCTTTGGCTCTCCACTGGACCTGCATCTGTCCCCCGATTTTCGCGCCCCTTTCACCGGAGCCATCACGCGTGTCACCAACTTTTCGCACGTCACCCGTTATCTGCCCATATTGGGGGCCTTGACCGACAGCCTGCCTTACTCGCTGGCAAAGCAGTTGTTCCCCCCTTTCAAGCCCATCATTGCGTACCGGGAGGTAAGTCGCATCACGGCCCGCTTGTGCTTGTTTTTGTTGCCTGGTTGCTAAGCTCTGACTATGCTCCAACAGGAAATGTCTCGACAAACCGATGCCATCCGCGCCAGTCATGAAGCCGCTGACGGTCACAACAAGCCTCGACTAGGACAGACGGGTCACGCCACCGTCTTCCACGAGATGCTGGCCTCCAACCTACCCCGCGAGGAACTTGCCCACAAGCGCATGCAGCACGAGGCCGAGTCCCTCATTGGTGCCGGCCTCGAGACCACCGCCTGGACGCTAGCGCTCGGCAGCTTCTACATCCTCCATGATTCTCAGATCCACGCCAAATTACAAACTGAGCTGACCGCCGCCATCCCTGATGCCGCTCACATCCCCCCGTGGGCCACACTTGAGACGCTACCCTACCTCACCGCCGTCGTCAAAGAGAGTATGTCCATTTAGTGCCCTTTCCAACCATGTCGTCTTTAGCAGAAATGCCGTTGTACTAACTCATCTTCAGCCCTGAGAATGGGCATGGGCGTCATCGAACGCCTCGTCCGTATCAACCGCAACCCCAACACCCCCTGGATCTATAAGGGCACCGTCATCCCTGCCAACGTCGCCGTCAGCATGGACCAATACCACATGCTGATGAACGAACGCGTGTTCCCGGACCCCACCGTCTTCAGACCCGAGCGCTGGCTGAACGACCCCCGCGGTCCCGACGGCAGACACCCGCTCACCCACTACCTGACAGTCTTTGGCCGAGGCACGCGCATGTGCCTGGGCTCTAACCTGGCCTACTCAGAACTATACATTGGCTTCACCACCCTGGTCAGGAGACACAAGTTGCGGCTCGTCGACACGACGGTCCGTGACGTGGCCTTTTATGCCGAGAATACCATCTTGTCACCTTGGCCCGGGACCAAGGGAATTCGGGTTCTGGTGGATAGCTAGAGGGGTGTAATCACCGCTAAGAGACATACCTTCACCACACCGATATGTAGTTGTCGATTGCGCCAGGCTTTCATAGGTGCCACGGAGCTATATAGTGACCTCTGTGTCGTTCAATTGACAGCAGTTGTGCAAGTGACTTCGTTATTCCGTCGGCCTCCCCTGAATTCATTGCTTCATAGGTCAACAACTTGCCCAGCTTCTCGCTTTATGCGGCCTATCCGAGAGCATTGCCCTCAATGCCCGCCGCAACGGGGAATGCAAACGAGGTGCCCATCTCATAGACACGCGTGCTATCCCACGAAGACTTGACGCCCACACAGAGGGTCATAAACCTGTCTCGCCACCCATTTACGTGAAGATTCATTTTATCAGAGTCATTCCCGCGTCGATTCACTACATGAACACAAATGGCGCGCGAGTTGCTGTGATGGCCGGGGAAGCAACCGTGTTGGGCGGTTTTGTGAGGTCGAGTTTGTCGCTTGGTAGAGCCAGCAGCCATTCGTCGATGCGTTCTAGACAGTTATCAATACTGCACATAGCTTCCTCCGATGTCGTGGCAGGCCAGGTGGTGAAGTATGGACGGTTGATGAAGCCCAAAGAACTGAGGCTGAATGATGTTGGAATGTGATCCGTGTTGGCGGGACAACCGGTGATCAGAAGTTGGGCAGTCTGTCCTGGCCGCTTATGTAATTGAAGGTCCACTCAAGTCGCCCAGAAGAGTGTGCCACTTATCTAAGTATGATTATGTCAGCAAGAAACAATCAATAAGACCCCACCCTACAACTCAGACCACCCCCCAAGTCAGACCATACAAAAAAATCGTCATTTTAGCCTAATAGTCACTATTTATTAATTATATAGATTAACCTATATAAATACTAAACTATCTACATTACAAAGAGGGATTTACCTTTACTCTTTCTTTTGCTGCCTCTGCCTTTACTATTACTTTTTCTGCCTTAGCTAGTGCCTTTGCTGCCTTAATTACTGCCTTCCTAGCCTCCTCCTTAGCTTACTCCTTAGCTGCCTTTTCCTTTACTATAATAATACTCTCTATAGTAGTAAAGCAAGTATTTAGATTAATAGTAACCTTACCCTTTTTATACTTCTTTATATAGTCTAGCTAGGCCTTAAGTAACTATATCCTTTTACTATTCTCTACTAGTATAGTATTTATATTATTAAGCTACTTTCTTACCTTTATAAAGAGTAGTCTTTAAGTATTATAATCCTATTTATTATCTTCCCCTTAAGGATCCTATAGACTCTAATACCTCCTTAAGTCTCTTAACCTTTAAGGGGTTTTAATAATAAACTATTAAGGTATACTAGGCTTAGCAGAGAAGCTAGGATCCTATATTAGAGCCTTTAGGTTATTAGTATTATTATCTAGGTTAATAAATTTACTTATAAGGGGCTAAGCTATATTTATAGGCTATAACCTTATTACTAACTAGCTTACTTAGATGTTCCTCTTTATAAAGGCCTCTCTTAATACTTTAAAATAATAGTAAAGAAAGTTCTACTTCCTAATTAGAGTACTACTTAGGTCTATAAATACCTCTAAGACTTCTCTCTAATAGGCTTACTTTAAGGGAAAAAAAACTAAAACATTAAAAAGTTAAGTAATATAGCTAGTATAAGGTAGTAGGTAAAGTAAGTAAATATCCTACTAAAAGTATTCTTATATAAAGTTATTAGATATATAACTCCTATGCCTATCTATAATAAAAAAAGTCTTAGAATTAAGTTTTTTTACCTTTAGTATTATAGCTAGGATAAAGATAGTCTTAAGCTAGTTAAGGCTTATCTTATTTAAAGTCTAGCTATTCTCTAATAATATAAACTACTATTAAGTAAAGGATTTAAGTTTAAGAGGAAACCACTGTTATTATACTAAAGCTCCCTTAAAGATAACTAGAGGAGGTAATTTTTTACTATCTATAGAGATATACTTAAGAATACTTGTCTAAGTGTAGGCTTTAAAGACTTAGATATATATAGATTACTTACTAGACTTCCCTAGTACTAAAGACTATTAAGCCTCCCCTTTAGTAATCTTAGTCTTATCTATATTTTATTATAGATATTATAGGATATCCTTAATAATAAGGAGTATAAGTAAGTAAAAAAGCTCCTTAATCCTCTCTTTAGTAACATACTTAATCCTCTTAGAGCTAATCTTCTTTACCCTTAGGGTCTTTATAGCTAGATTTCTTTATAAGAATCTTTCTAGCTACTTTTTGCCTAATAACTATAAATTATTACTAGCTCTAAGGACTCTCTAGGCTATCTCCTTAACCTATAAATAACTAGGTGTAAAGCCAAGGGCCTCCTAGGATAAAGCCTAGTTAATAAGGCGCTTTTCCTATATTTAACTAAGCTATTAATAGTTAGCTTTAGCCTCTTTAATTAACGTAGTACCTTAAAGGCAACAGTAAAGTGTTATATATAGGATACCTTAGCGCCTAGCTGCTTTATAATAGCTGCCACTAGTAAGGACTTTGTTAATTACCTTTTTAAGTAACTTAGGGGTATAGTTTAGTATTCTAAAGCATTTAGTATTTTCAAAAGAATTAATTTGATTTTTTGTTGCTAGGATATTTTAGTTTATAAAAGGTAGTTAATTACTAAAAGCACAAAAAAGGGGGAAAATAGTCAATGTAAACACATAGTCCAACTTAGGGGGTAGTCCAAGTTGTAGGGTGGGGTCTTAAGATGTCATGCTCCAACACCCGGGGCATTTCCCCATCCATTCATTAGTTGCGGTTGCTAGTTTTTTTCTTTGTTTGTAATTTTTGATTTGGAGATGTCATAGAGAATGAGTGGACGGTATCTGCTGCCCTGCCATCATATACCCAGATAGGCTTATCTAAGCGTTCTACCGCATGGCAGAGTAGGGCTGGCGGGCTAGACGGGGTCTCCGCAGTGGCGCCGGAGCGGCACCGGAGTAGCGCTGCGGAGCACCCACTTGGATACAGAACACTATTAATGAGCGTCACCACCTCGAGCGTCATCTCGAACTTTGACGCCATCAGCTGGACGGCAGATTCAAAGTCGGTCCGGAGACACATCGCCTAGAACAAGATAGGCGCTGCCTTTGTGCTCTCATTAGTCAGTGAGAAAGGAAGGCACTCAACAACAAGTTACTCACCAGGCTGATGATCATGTCTGCAGATAGGTCAGGGGAATAGAAATATACTCGATCAGCCTCCATTACATTATGGGCGGTCTTCAAGATCATGGACGTTGGCATGATGAAGTTAATCAATGACGCGGACATGTTGGTAGACTTCTGTAATAAATTTATTAAGGTCTAAGTCAAAGCACCCACATATGAAACACCCCCACATATGGAACACCTAAAACATCGCCATCATGTTAACTACCACCCTTTTCAATTAACTATCAACATTTTCTAGATGCAATAATAATATAGCTTTTAGCCTTACTAGGTAATTCTAATGCACTAGATTTATCTGGCTAACTTTTAGTATTGCTAGCCTTACGCTAGGCTTACTATACCTCTTTAATTATTATAAACTTTATATTTAGATCTAGGGTAATAGCCTTCTTTTTCCTGCTAATAGTATTATTAACCTTAGCCTAGAGAAGCTCTATTTAGTGCTAAGTAGTAGCTAACTTAAAGGACTACTGTTAAAAGCCTTTTTTAACTTTTCTAAAGAGCTAGCGTTATATAGTAATATTTTACTTTAGTTAGTCTAGTTAGCTAAATAAATATAGTTAATTCTTAAGGTCTTATACTTTCTTTAGTATAGACTACTTAACTACTAATAAGGTAGATACTTATTCTTTTATATCCTAGGCCTTATAGGCTACTTTTGCCCTTTTATTAACTAGTGTTAATAGTACTAATAGTACTAATATATCTAGTAATAGATAAAAGCTTATTAGAGGCTTTATAATACTAATAGGCTATAACCTAGTATATTTTTAGTTACTCTTAATATTATTAATAGTTAGACTAGCTAAGTAAGCCTTTTAATAGTAAAAAAAAAAGTTCTTTTTACTTATAATAGTAAAGTTAATTTACTAACTAAGATATCTAAGCTTCTTTTAATATACTACTTTAATAAGGCTAAAGACTAACTAGTTAAGTAGCTAAAGGATATAAAAGGTATATAGTAGTAAGAATAAAAAATAAATATTATTAGTATAGTATAACTATATAAAATCTATTATTATATAGCTTTTATACTTATCTAGAATAAAAAGTCTAGCTTAATTAAGCTAAGAGGGCTTAGTCTAAAGAAAAAAGACTCTTTATAGCTATTTAATAGTAGTAATATTAGTAGTCTATTTATTCTTTATTACTATAAACTTTTATTTATTATATAGGCCTAGATTTAGAGAGAACTACTACTACTAAACTATTTTACCCTTATATATAACTAAGGGATAAATAAGAATACCTTTAGTAAATATACACTTAATAATAAATACTTAGGCTTATAATCTAGGCTACTTTTTTTTTACTGCCTTTATTATAGCCTTACTTAGCACTAGCCTATTATTACTTTTACCTTTAAGAATACTAGTCTTATCTATATTATATTTATTAGCTAGTTTAATAGCCTAGATATAAGGTATAGTAAAATATTTAAACTAGTCCTTAATAACCTTAGTAAATACCTTATTAATATACCTTAAATTAATAAATTAACTTCTCTAGACCTTAATAAATAGGTTCCTTTAAATAAAGCTATTTATCTACCTTTTGCCTAGAGGTTAAGTATCCCCTATAGTATAAAGGATATAATAGGCAAAGTCCTTTAGTTATTAATAGGTTAAAAGTAGCCTAAGGTCTACTTATTTAGTTACCTAAGTAGCTAGGCTAGTCTCTTAGGCAGTTAATAGTTACTAGAGGTCTTTAAATGTAATTTTTCTAGGCTAAATACTATACATCTAGTTACAAAGGGTTAAAAGAAGGATACTATATTAAATAGTAGACCTTCTTAGTCCCTAGCTATTAGTAATAGCTTAGATTACCTAATTAATCTTATATTTAGTATACTAGACTATTAGGGTATAAGGAAGGGATTCTAAAAAAATGAGGTAATTTGATAAAGGTTGGAAAAAGTGATGATAGTTTGAAGTTGGTGGTGGTGAAGGAGGTGGTGGGGGATGAGGCATTTATGGGTGTTCCATATGTGGGGGTGTTTCATATGTGGGTGCTTTGACTTAGTGGTAGCGGACACTGACGATGCTCGTCAAGGTGTGATTGTTGTTCCTGTACCTCCATTTGCTGCATGTGCTGGGGTTCATTGTGTAAATTATTCACGCAGAGATGTTCTATATTGCAGAAGTCCGAGTTCGAAACGATCACCCACAGGACACTGAGCCAGACGCTATACATGACGAAGCAAATGATGCAGATGAATGAATGTGTCGCAGTATGAAAATACTCCCAAGAGCAGTATCACCTTTTCCTACGCAATAAACGCCTCTTTTTTCTCTATTGAAATTAACGGCATCATTTTCCTGATGTCTTTAATCTAGGTATGAATGTCTAAAGATTGTCTTGTCACATCACCAGCTCAAAATCACTGCAACAGCTCCTTCCCAATTTTCATCTCGGCATCTTTCAGGCCAGGCATCAGATAGTTTGATCTGACCAACGGGGGGGCGTTGATATCCACACGCAGCCTCATTTCAACGACTTCACCTATCGTGGTAGACTCTTTCTAGAAATTAGGTAAACCATCAGTTACGGCATCATCTGCAGTACCCTGATGTAGTACTAAAAATGTATGGTTTGGTGCATATGTAGATATGTTTTTAAACAATAGATGATAAGAGATGATACATTATCGATTTGCGAGAAAGCGAGAAGATCTCAACGAACGAGTTTACAGACAAGCTGATATTGTCCCCCACCTGTCAACCCGAGAGTACTGTGCACGATACCAGCGATAACAGCAATAAACCTCATATCCTAAAGGCTGCAGGTTCAAATCCAGTTCAAGTCCAGTTTTCTTAGATTTTTTTAATTCTAAAATGGCTCCGCTGGGGAGGGTTAGAATAGTCTAACCCACCCTGCTTCCTACGCTGCGCTCCGGGTCAGGATGGGCCAAGACTATCCCTTTTGCCTCTAAGATAGTTGTGTTATCACCTGAATCCACTGTCTGCTGGACTCTGCATAGACCAGTGTGCACAGTACTCTCGGGTTGACAGGGGGGGGACAATATCAGCTTGTCTGATTCCTCTCAAGGAACAATCCCCTAGAGAATTGTGGGTTTTATCCAAGCGCTTCAAAGATATCCCTATCTCCTGCTAATATGGTTCTTCCTTACTATGCGTGGAAGTGCCTGTTGTCCAAAAGTCTTATTAATCTATTAATGTCTCGCAATTTAGCTAATCCGGAATTCATAGCAGAGTCTCTACAAACATCCGCTCACAATCATGGCCTTTGAATCATACATGCTCTATCCTCAGCCACAGCTCGTTTTCGTAGGTGTGAAGTCAGAATGCCTTCCGTACATTTTGTGTCCAGTTCTTAGTTAAGCTTTATGATCAAGTTCATTCAGCCTAGATGTTCAACGCCAATGCCCCAAGATCGTCCTATACACAAAAGTCTTCAGCAGCCCCTGTAATCCTCAGAAATTCGGGGTTTGGTGAATACAGCCGAGAATCTTTAATGGAGTGGCATCAAACCCCCGTTTTCTTCGCTTGACTCTGCAAATATTCTAGGTGGTCTTCAGTGACGGGGGATTCCATCTTTGTCACGAGATCTTGGGCTGCATCATGGATCATCTTCGGATATCTGCAACTCGTCGACACATTGATGCTTTGAAATGCAAGAGATAGTTCATTGATGCTTCCAAGATATTTCGGCGTGACGTTTTGCAGCAGTGCCAAATCGTGCATATCAAGACAGTAGACTTGTGGAATGAGACTTCCGAGAATCTTTTCGGCTGCAACACTCTGTGCTTTCTGAACTATGATTTGGATGGGCACTGACATTGTTGCTTTTGAGGCTTGTAGATATGGTCATCGCGTCATGTATGGCAGCGAAAAGTGTTCTGGTCATTTTATTGATACTTTTCTCCCTGGTTGATTTGATACGGACTTGTGGGATATTAGTAGGTCAGATGTGAGCGAAAACAAACATTTTGAACCTACAGATGATTCCTGGGGGTACGTGAAACAAGTAAGTGTCGAAAAAGATTCCATCACTGTCTAAGAGCTGACCCTCATCTTTGATACGGAATTAATGTATCAGTTCTGTTGCGTAGGCAGACGGTGCGGGTCAAGTTTCTCAGGAATTTGCTGAAAGTGTCCATGATCAATGCTCAGAACCAGGAAGATGGGAGATACAGAATCCTCCGGCATCTCGATTGTTCATGGTGCCTCACCCTTGGGCCGAGACTCGGATAAACCAGTGAAGAGCATCGCACGGAGGACTGGAGACCAGCTTGCGAGAGGTCTCGAGCAAACTATCAACTCGTACATTCGCGGCTGATCTTTTTCGCTATCCCCAACCTTCAGAGTCAAATCGCCACGCGTATCAAAGTAGAAAGCTTTACCGCAAACGGGTGGCTCCATCCACTGTTCGAGGCATTGCCAGATGGCGTGATCTCCGATATAGCTGGGGTCGACTGGTCTACGTATGAAAGAGCAACCATGGCAGCATTATGCAATACTATTCGTATGGACGCAAATAACGGGAAGAATGCATCAAGAAATACTCACTGCGTCAATTTCTCCTTAACCGTAACCGCTGATCGTGGGATAAACCCCCATAGATCGTCGGATTGACTCACAGGGTTATGCTTGATCGTACAGGGACAGCAGGGCGGTAAATTAGAAAGATTGGAGGGACGCGGTGAGTGAAATATTGTGACAGGTACGACGTGGTACATATTATGGGCAGTACGCGTCTCTTTGTAGTTCAGCACGCCATCATGGTTGAACCCTTGCTGAACATTGAATTATTGATGGGAAGCGCTGGGTGTCATAGGCCAATTAGACTTGCTGGGAAATGGGAGCTGATGCAGGAGACCTGCCATCGGTGACGAAGGTTCACAAATCAAAAGGAGCCAGCCAGTCATTTGGAGGTTATCGGAATGTAAAGTGACGTGTCACAGGTTTGTTGCTAGATGCCTGGAACAAATGAGTGATGTTGCTTTTGAGTGGTAGGGTAGACGTAGGGGCTACGACCAGGCTGCTGTTATTGTTATATCTACAGATGCTTGTACGCAAACTTATCCTTTAGCGTCGCACGGATCAGAAGATGGAAGTTGCATAAGCCGTGTGCTTATGCCATTGGCAGTAGGCCCTGTTGTCTCCCTGTGCTGTCGAGACACTTAAAATGGGTAGCGTTCAGGTCCAAATGGTCGTGGTCCGCTGATGATGCTGCAAGAAAGCTGATACACTGTTCCCCCCCTGACAAGATGTTGGTTTTTTCTGTTAGATAGGAGATAAAGGATTCTCAAATTTTGCTGGGCTTATGTCATGTTTGCTGGCTCGTTGTGTGTTAGCTGGCGCTTGTCTCGGTTGACTCCCATGATGGATTATCAATGATGACAAAACTCGGGAGAGATGAGTCTGGCGAACGGCAGATCTGCGACTCTGCTCAGGCGAGAATACATGAGCACGATGGCCCGTCCTAGGTGCAAATGATATATATGGGAAAAAGACATAAAACAGAGTAAGAAGAGGAAACCATTCATCTGCTGGTTAGGAACAGACAGAAATGGTAGCATGTTTATTACCCGTCCTCTCTTATTGTCCCTGATACCACATCGCCACTCTGTCTAGATTTTTGAAATTCACTCCTGAATCTCCTGGTCAAATAGTGCACCCGCCAATCCATCAGTAGCTTTCGTTCTACCTGAAGCCTAAACCACATATCTTCCTTATTGGACGGAGCGCTCCCCGCTTCCAGCTCACCTAGCACCTACAGATGTGATTGGACGTGGCCGAGATAATGCTTCGTGTATTCAGAAAGGCGCTTCCTCGTGAAGCGTAGATTGCCCTTCGATGGCTGCGTTGGCGTCGTCAACGTTGTCTTTGGGGAGGCGCAGGTTGAAGACTCTCGATGGGGGGATTCGGCTGGACTGCTGCACGGCCGTGTGGAGGGATTGGACGTAACGGGCCATTGAAGTAGCGTCGCTTCTTTTGCATCCACCAAGAAGAGGGCGTTTTCGCAGGGCAGGCCGGATGAGTGTCGAGATGCGTCGGCATCGGACATCAAGGGAGCCATCGGGTAGTGTTTTTGATCGGCGCCTGAGCCTCGTACTTCTGCATGGTAAGATGCAAGTCAAGAAGCTTGAAAACAGGGAAAGGGGGAAACAAGGAAACAGGTCTTGTTTGCAGAAACCCCTGGCCCTTTGGGCTTCACTTTCAGCCGAGGCCAATGGTAAATGTGGATTGCGGTTGGTGCGAGGAGGTGTGGGGTGCCCGGCTTGTTGAAGCAGGGGGTGTTTGTTCGTTTGTTTGTTTGCTTCCTCTTCCTGCCGTCAAGGTCATTGATGAGAGGACGAAGACCGCCCTTGGCAAGAATTGTTTGTTGATCGAGATCAAGCAAGGCACCTTGACATGTAGGGGTCATGTCACGGCGTCAGACGAGAACCTTGTCTTGGGGGACACATATGGGAGATAAGATCTCTTGAGAGGAAAAGTAATATTAGCCGTAATGGCAGGAACCCCCTAGGTCAATGGTTTTCTATTCCGAGCAGTAATCAGAGCCCGGATATCGAGTGGCAGGAAATACATGACTGAGTGAAAGGCTTGCTCACCTAAACATCCCGCGTGAGGTCGGCCGACATTTTCACCGCCAACGCTGGGGAGGATGTCATGGGCTTGGGGTTAGCCTTGCATGTTGTCAAGCACCTATCGTTGAGGGCGAATCTTGAGTGCTATCTCATCAGTGGCGCGAGCTGGTGGCTTCTGCATCTTATTGCTCTTCTGCACTTTCTTAGCATGTAGGAGCCTGCCTGCGGATCAATTACTTGATTGATTGTGCCAGGGAAGAATATGTCTTGTTTCTTTGTTCGTCTGTCCAAGAGTGGGAGGGGGAGCATTAGACAAATGGTGAGGTAGCCTGCTCGATTCATACATTGAATAGCATCGGTATTTAAACTTGTAGCATAGATCGTATCTGTAAGTGAATATCACGGCACTATATAGGTATACGGAGTATCGTCGTCTAGCACATACGACCATACCCACTGGAGAACTCGGGATCCCGTCCGCTCTCCCATAGATAAGCCAGTGAGGGCCGGATTAGTAGTTGGGTCGGTGACGACCAGCGAATACCTGGTGTTGTATGTTGTTTTTTTCTCCATCTGACTTATCCTCTCCTTGAATTTTTAGGGAGTAAGAAGCATATCAAACAAACCTTACACATTAGAGTATAGACTACTACTACAGGGCTACGTTTGTATAACTTAAATAACTTTAAATGCACGTCGTTGATAGCTAGGGAACACGGCGGCCCCTGACACGTTTGGCCCTGACCACAGAGACACCAGCCAGGTGAGTATAGTGATGTCTAGATCAAGTCAACCCGCACAAGTCCATTAACCGTTTAGCCATTTTGCGTTCACCTTAACTGTCGGGGCGCAAATGTCATGAATTCTATAGCGATCTTGGGAGTAAATCAACATACAGTTGTGGCCATCCCTCTGCAGCCAGAGAATACTGTAACCTAGTGCTTACTAGCCATTCCAGCTACTCTGTTAAACCCATGGACCTAAAGCCCATCCCAAAATACTAACACCACCTGTTATCCACCAACCTAAACCAGCTAAATTTCGTTCTACGCCAAGCCCAAACAATGAGCCGCCCGCGATTGAGCCCGCAGTGCGGAACGTGCTTGCTACTGTATTTGCTATTCCGTGAACTGTTCCGCGGCGGGATGGCTGCGCTGTTGACTGGTTTACTAGTAGGATTGTCACTAAAATCCCGAATGACCGGCCCAGCACGTGGAGGAACAGAACCAATAGGAGCCCTAGCCACAGAGCATGAGGACTATCAGGAGTAAGAAAGGTCAAGTATGGCGCGATGAAAAGACTGGCGGGGAACAGCGGAAGGGTGGCTTTGAAAGCCCGCACCGCCCCAAACTTGGTCGTGATATGGGGTACCGCAGTGAGTTGCAAAATCACACCAATAAATCCCAAAGCCCCTACAGCGAGTCCGATGTCCGAGTTTTTGAGTTGAAGTCCGCCAGAAAAGACAAACGGCAGCCTCACTGGAGCTTCGGGTTTGCGGCGGTCGGCGACCACGAACAAAGGCCAGAGTGACCCGAAGGCACTTCCGCAACTGTGTTAGTGACAGACTAAACGGAAGAACAACTTCCAAGAACGGTTGGCCAGAGGAGAAAACTCACCCAAGATGGAATTCCAATATAGCAACTGTGCACAAGACGATGAGGAACTTTAGCCTCCATATCGGCTCCATTTGCTCTTTTGAGCGTTCCGAATCCTGTTGAGGTTCATCCCGCTGCATCTCCACGGCATCGCTGGCTTCAATCAGGTGTTCATAGTTGTATCTTGTTACTGGTCTGTACTGCCATTTGTATCGGTGAAAGCATTGTCGAATCCAGTCATGTGATCTGATCACTAGCTTGTGCCATTCCCGATGAGTGACATTGTGCACTTCCTTCAACTTGTACCAAACCAAGAGCGCGTCTGCCGTCAACACTAACGCGCTAATGAGATTTGGCATTGTGTAAGGATTGCTGGCTTCCCAATGCGCCATTGTGGCACTTCCTGACTCCGATGAAGCCGAGATGGAGAGCCATCCAAGATGAGGACCCATAGAAGCAGCGGCGATCACTATGCACGAAACATCAGCCGAGGTTCTCAATGTTTTCAAGTTATTGTTGCGAAACAGGGATGGGAATTATCTGTATGTTCTGTGAGCGAAAGACCAACTTACATGGTCCGATGGCATTGGCCACATGGAACGATAGTACCAGAAGGGAAAAGCCCGCGGGCAGACTTTGGGGAGGGAGGTTGTCCGACATGGCGGTTCGAGCGGCGACCACGGTGCCATTGGTGGCCCCGGCCAGAAGCCGCCAGAAGACTACGGCCCCGATTGACCTTGCGAAAGCCACTCCCACGCAGGCGATGGCCGTGGAGATGAGGCCGATAAGAATGACCGTCTTCCGGCCGATTCTGTCAACGGCGATACCCCATATCGGCGCCGAGAGAATTTGTGCTGCTGTGAACATGCCCTGAGCCACGCCGACATGACGGGCCAATTCGGTTGTTGAAAGGTCCGGCTGTAAGTACTGGAGATGAAGCGTCACACACGTTTGGAAGCTTGCTATCTGGTAAAAGTCGACAACACGAACTGATGCTATCACAGCTACGGCCGCTGCCTTGTCTTTCGGCAGGTACGCCCAGGGCAGGCTGAATAACGTCCGATGCATAGTCGTCTCAGATCGTATCCAGTTGGAAGCCGGTTGCGCAGCAGGATATGAGCCAGATGCTGCCGTGACGAGCACTGGTGTGAGCATAAAAGTAGGCGTGACGCCATGTTTATCGGTGAGATAGCTATCAATTAGGCTTTGCGCGGCTATGACTACAAACCCTAGTAATTGACTCCATCACACAATGAAACGCCAATATTGGGATCGCCATAGCACAGCCCGAACTGGTCTTGTATCCACTTCCAAGTTCTTGACGCGCAGCCAGTCTCCTCTTCTTTAAAATGGGTACAGGTAGAATGCCAGAGCGATTTGTTCAGCGGCCAGAGACTAACCCTATCTAGAAGGCACTGCCACCACCGCCACTGCCACTGCCACTACAACTACTACCCATGTCCATAACCTATGCAAAAAACGCTACTCTGTATCTTTACTGTAAATCCACTATTGCTAACAGACGCCTATGTTACCTAAGATTAAGCCCTTATATTTAACCTTTAAAGAGTACTACCGTAGACACTCGTGAGATTCGTCGACCACTAGTGAGCCAGCTAGCTGTATATAGCTAGCGACCTACTGATAGCAGCTAGTGGATTTTGATAGCACAGATCTCAATATAGAAGGCGGTCAAACTATCTACCCTCCGTTGCCAACTAGCCAGCATGCTTTTAGTACATACACAACCGTTACATAAGAAAATAGGTATATACAGATCCCTGTTTCTGCCAGCACACTATACCTCTTACAGCAGCTGCGATACCTATTGCCGTTAGCTAGCTCACTAGTGGTTAGCAAATCTCACGAGTGTTCACAGTAGTAATATATATTAATTTACTATTATAATAAGAATATTACCCTTTATTTAAATAAGTTATATAATATAATAAGTTTAAAGTTAATTATAGCTATTACCTTTATTTTACTTTAACTTTATATTACTTAAATCTAAGAAGTTTTTAACTTTATGTAACTTTCTAAGTCTTAGCCTTCTTATTAGTTAGTTAAGTTAGAATACTGTTTTTGCTAGCACTGACATAATGCATTCTGAAATAGGCTTAACCTACTGGCCGCTGACCAAATCGCTCTAGCATTCTACCTGTACCCCTTTAAGATACGGTAGCGGTTAACAGGCAGACACTTTGCGGGTCAAACCTTAGTATCTCAGACTATCTCAAAGTACTGACCCACCTCCTCTTAAGTCACTTTTGTCCCTACACCACCAACTCCAAATTCTCCACACCACCAACTTCAAATTTTTAACACTAAGTTAACAAGAAAAAAAAAAGCTTTTTTAATAGTATATACTACACCTTTTATACTATACCTAGTATCCTCTATATATAGGAGACTATCTCTAGGGGTAAGTTTCTCTAAAAAGTTAATTTATGTTACTAAATTCTAGATGTACCTTAAGCTAATAGAGATATCTCTGTTTTCTTCTTTTTTCTATAGGAAAAGGGTAAGCTGGTCTGTGCATAGGTCTGTGCAGAATTAAGCGAGAGACTTTAAGAGGTACTTTGATGACTCAAGTGCTGCCCCGCAATGTGTCTGCCTGTTAACCGCTACCTAAGATACTACCTTATTATCTCTTATTATATCAGCTGCCCAATGGTTGCATTGCAGGATTGCTAGGATAAGATTCCAAAGACCATCGATTATGGAAGTTTGTCAACTAAACACAAAATATATTTAGTAGCTATTAAGTCGTTTACAGGTAGGTATCAGCATGGTCAAAGGACTTAGTACTTCCCAAGCTTCGTGTAAGCGTGTACAGAATCCAGCAAGTCAATGTCCATATACACCAGCGAAAAATCACATTACACATCTGGAGATAATTCCGCCGCCTAACGCGCTTGATAAATGAATCCCCCTCGTTGACATGTGGGAACGGTCCTGCAGGAATGGGGCATTCAAGAAACTTGCAAAGTGGCTCCCAACCGTCACTCATGCGGAATTCAAGGAGTCTATCGGGGGGCACGAGACTCCTGACTCGCTCGTTATGAGACAGAAAAACATCCCTGGCGTTCTTATCAAAATCGCCCATGAAGACCGAGTCCCAGTATTTCCGAAGCATTGGGTAGTACATCGATGAAGCCCAATCGACGTAGGACAAGGCCTTGAGGAAGCGGTCGTTGGCGCGCCAGTTAACAGTGGCTTTTGTGGACTTGAACCAAGTCTCGACATCTCGCGTCGTGAGGACAACCTTCGCATCTGGGTATGCCGCGACCAGCTCACCCGCGAACGAAGCCGCGGGCCAGTCACATACAGCTTGACAGTGCCCCAACAAAGCATCCCACTTGTCTTTTCCAAAAGCGCGTCCAGTATCGTCATATTTGGCCGCAAGAGCTTCGCTCCACAACAAGCAATCGGGGGGATTCTCGACGCTGGCGCTCATCATATGATATGTATCCTCGAACCCCAGCTGTTTCAAGGCCGAACGAAGTGCTGCCTCGGCGTTAAAATAAAGTCATTTGTGTGATCATAAGCAAAAGGGGTCTAAGTACATGCTGTGCCCGTTCTTCCCATTCCTAGACATAGGACTCTCATGGGTACAGTACGTGATAAATTTCGACGATCAATGTCACTATCGCTAGTGAATATATCGGTAAATGGCTTCGATATGCCGTTTCTGCGGAATCCCATGATGCTGCGTTGACTGTGTTTTCTCTTTCAATGTTGAAAGATGGAAGGCCGCTAAACCAAGAGTTCGAGAAAAAGATGTTCAGGTCGAATAAGATAGCGGGATTGAGATACAATGGTTCCGTCTTGCAATGCCAGATGGCCCCGAGCTACTGGTCATATTATATTGTGTGACACAAAAGACAACGCCGTTAATTGCGGGCAGCATAACTAACGCCTTATATCACCTCGTGACACACCCCCCCAGATCACAGGTAGCCCCGCTTATGTGGATCTGCTCTAGGAAGGAAGCCTCTACATAGTATAGCCCCCTGAAGGTACACACTCTGAACTCCCCTAGGGCAGAGACTGCTACAACTCTTATTAACCTTCTAATTAGGTATATCTCGCCAAAGTCTAGGTGGTTGCCGTCTGCCTTATCTAGGTAGGTAAAGTATTTGCGACCTGTCCCTGGCCTTGACGGGATTTGAACCCGTAGGGTCTATGAAGCTCAGACGCTAGCTTAAAGGCTGTACTATATTGAGGCACGCAGCGCAAACTAGGCTTATAACTGTTACGTAAAAGACGACGCCGTTAATTGTGGGCAGCACAACTAACGCCTTATATCACCTCGCGACATATTGTTTATCTTAATCCACTTACCTATGGCAATTGATACATGCATTTGCATATAGGTTCAGTTTACAACTCCGATATCATCAGCCGTGCGTGAGCAACGGTCCACAAGGTCCAGAGCATACTGGCCTCGCTGGACAGGTTTGTGTGCGGGTCTGTCTCATTTTTGTGGGTAGCAGTCCTCCTTCTTGAGTCAGATACCCCGTCACCGACGGATCGCTAGTCCACATGTAATATATCTCGCTTGGAAAGATAAGGCTGTTATGTAAACTTGAAGGTGAGGGGAGTGTTGCATTCGGGTTACCAAAACAGCAAGTAATGCGGAGGTTGAACTGGAAGAATTTAGGTATTAATTAAATAGCAAGACGATCGCGCCACGAGTCTATCAGATTATTTCGCGTCAATTTCCACACCTTGTTTCCCACAGCACAGTCAACCAATCAACACAGTATTCAACTTAACAGTTTGCCAGCCAAACCTATCAATTAGTCATGTTGGCACGCGGTCTCTGCACAGGTGTGCTTGCCCTGGCTTCCTTGGCCCAGGCGGCACCTATGCCCCGTGAGTTCAAACGGTTATTGTTTGTTATATTAGATTTGCTAACAGTTCTTATCTAGAGGAGAAGAGTGATACCGTCTCCAGAGGTATTCGTTCCACTGCTGCCGAGCTGGAGTCCCGTTACATCTACACTCAGCGCACTCCCTCTGACGCCAACGAGGAGAAGGCTGCTGCCGAGCTGGAGTCCCGTTACATTTACACTCAGCGCACTCCCTCTGACGCCAACGAGGAGAAGGCTGCTGCCGAGCTGGAGTCCCGTTACATCTACACTCAGCGCACTCCCTCTGACGCCAACGAGGAGAAGGCTGCTGCCGAGCTGGAGTCCCGTTACATTTACACTCAGCGCACTCCCTCTGACGCCAACGAGGAGAAGGCTGCTGCCGAGCTGGAGTCCCGTTACATCTACACTCAGCGCACTCCCTCTGACGCCAACGAGGAGAAGGCTGCTGCCGAGCTGGATTCCTAATCGATCTGCAACCAAGACACTAGGGCCAGCAAGGACTACGAACGTTGTCTCTAATCTACTCTTTTGCTCACCTGACGAGGTTCTAGAGATGGATGACAACTGCAATTTTGGCTCTAGGCCCTGAAGATTAGCCTCAATCAAATGTCAGCTTGGACGCATGTAAAGCTATGAAGAGGCGAGGAATTATTTTGTCCCATGCGTGACTGTATTCTCAAGTAGTTTCGCCAGTCGCCACAGCGCCAGGCACTGACTGTATCTAGTCTTCTGGCACTGTCCAGTTATACCAAGGTTAAACAATGAGTATTCTGTAGGCTCATGAATGCTTGCTGTTGTTTCTTCTGTCCTGAGAGAGTTTGCTTACACCTGTAAGCTCGTCGTAGAAAGCAGCCAATGTGTATCCTACGGTCTTCAATGCGCAAATCTCCATGAGTGCTAGCCTTTTTCTTTCTTCGACTGTGATGTCTATATGCTATTCCCGAATAGTACCCGCATAAAGTAAAAAGTTTTAGTCTTGGCTACTAGACATAACAACAATTTTGCAGTCAAAATATACGACCTAAGCATCGCTTGAAAGCTGTACGCTTTCTCACCAATCCAACAGAAATAACCAAGATCAAAGTAACAACGAAGTTCAAGAGAAGGGCTTGAAAAAAAGGTATATGCTGCAAGCCGTCGGCAACCTGCAGAAGTTTAGGATGAGAGGTCTTAGTAGCGGCAGTGGTGGTAGTGACTCGACCCGGCACAAGGCAGTGTAGTGGTTCTGCGCACCATATGTCGTCGCATCGTATGCCAGCAGCTTTAGAGGGCACAAATGTTGTTACCACGTCTGACTTTCCAAGAACTTTGTCTGTGGAGGAAATTGCCTCCACATATGCTTTGACGTAATGATCCTCCGTGGTAATTGTGGTTTCAAATCCTTTCTTGGGCACCTGGGTGATTTGCGAGAATGGACCATCTGGATGCAGAGCACCGTAAACTCTCCAACTCTTCACTTCGGTGGCGCCGTTCCAGCTAACATGGAAAGCTGTCAATGAAGCAGGTGTTTGGGAGAATGATACCAATGCTACCGTATTGAGCGGAGCACCAACCCACGAGCTTTTGTATACGCGATAAAGGGTCCCGAGCGAATTATCCCGGACACATGCCTTGAAGCCTGGTATCCCATCGCTAGTATACTCCGTGAAGCAGGCTGCGTCGCCAAAGCCGACAAGAACATTCCCGTTGGGAAGGACAAGTGTACTACCTGCAATCTTGGACGTGTACTCAATTCCCGGTCCAGAATACCGCTTTTCAATGTGGGCTGTCTTTGTTCGGTGATCAAGCAGTACGATCAAGCCGGACGATGGCCGCTCGGGTTTGAAAGCTGGGCGACGAGCATTGTCGAATAATGAAATTCTTGTAGTATCTGCGTCATCCACTAGCACGCGAGCATGATGTTGGAACAAGATTGCTGGTTCAATGGGCCCGAAAGTCGAATTGGATCCACCAAGACGCCATATAATGCTTCCATCGCGGCTGGAAACTTTGAAAATTGTTGAAGTATGCCTTGCTGAAACGAGGTAATTACCATCAGGCATTTTCTCAACGGAGTTCAGGTGGACATAATCCCATGGTGCTGTCCGGGTTCCTTGCCCAGGTTGAACTTGACTTTCAGCTGGGTCGATGTGATCTAAAGATCTCCACTCGAACAGCACGCGTCCTGAGTCAATCTCTATCTCTTGGAAGACTCCCTCGAGGATCCAGATCATGCCGCGGCTTTCGACGTGTCCACTTAAATCGTACAGTCGTCGCCGGTACTGAGTGATGAGTGACGTAGTTCCGGATTCGGCAGTCGTAAACTCATGAAGATCGCACGAGGTTGTGTGCCCTCCGCCTGATACGTGCTTGACAGGCTGGTAATGAGAGTCAAGAATAATCCCCTGGCCCCTGGCGTTGCCTTGGTCGTTGAACCCGCGCAGCATGCACAGATGCGGTAAGCCCTGGAAGTCGCACGTGTGGAAATCGTAGACATGGGCACCTGCTCCTTCGGTCCCTGCGTATGCGTCGCTACCAGCCCATACTAGTTCCTGGATTCGTGAGCCTGAGTACATGGCTGGTTCATATAACATATAACTCACTCCCTTACTGTCAAATATCATTGGTGTCGAAACATAGCTCTTGAAAGGTGCAAGGAAGTAAAAGCCGGGGTTTACCAAGCTTGGGTTGTGCAAGGTAACGTTAAGATGCGGTATGACAATATCAGGTCGCTAGTTTACATGTAAGCGCAACAGAGTCTTTAGAAGATTGTTCCTAGAAAGCAAGTAATTACCGATTTGAAGGGGCGACTAGTGTCTACTAAGTTGCATGTAGCAGAAGTCATGTCACTTTTTGCAAGTAATGCGCCCTGATAGTGGTATTGAAAAGCGAAGGACTTTCAAAGAGTAGATGAAAAAGGGACAGCAGTTCTAGTGATAAAAGCTCGGTACAAGCGGTATGCTTATGTAATAGTTCAAGGGTTTAAAATCATACCCCTCATTTACGAACCATTTACTAGGGTTATGAGCACAATAGTCAAAACTGGCCCTAATTTCTAATTCTCAAACAATACCCGTATTCTTCGCAGAGATTACCACTGGCTAAATGGGGCATGAGACCCACAGCGTACGAGGGCAGAGATAGTTACATGCTCCACAGTATATCAGACAGCCTTTTTATGCTATTCTTACGGAGAGGACATAAGCTTGGTAAGTAAATACTAGCTTTAGGGTAACATTTACGCGACACTGCGTCGTATGCGCTGTTTAGCTCTGTTTCTGCAAAGCAACTCAATATCTGACAGGTAAGCCCGCTTTGTCCGGTCAACTTTGGTCTATCCGCCAGTGTCCACCAAAGGACTCTAGTTAAAAAGGGCTTCGGTGTATAAATACCTAGGTTAAGCCGTCGCTGACAAAGATGTTGCCTAGAAGGCTTGGCGAGACTCTGGGTCAGCACTGTTGTTACATTCTCGCTAAAAAAGGCAGGTGTCAGTGAATCCTGCGACCCTGGGCGGTCTAGGTCTCCAAATCTGGCGGCCCTATAAGGCACGTTGACTGCAGGCTGCTTTGAATGGACCTGCACGTGCAGGCTACTATCAGCCAACACGACTGTGATCTTTCACTGTAAGCCTGATCGAGTATGCCAGAGCAGATAGGCCGGAGTATGAGGACCGAAGCAGGTCGCATACACAAGTGGACGTTTCAGTAGTTATACTAATCTTGCATTAGGACTGTTTGAATTGCTGAGGGATTGTTGAGCTTATCAAGGTAACAAGGTAATAGCTGACCAGGCCGCCATGGCTACTCTAAATATGGAGTCGAACCTGCAAGTAATCCTTGGCCATGACGAGATTCAGATTGAACGAGTGGGCAGGAAGATTCGAGGCCCATGTCGTAGGATCGATATTGTCAAAATCCCTACGGAAGGATCTCAGGGATTGCTGACCTCGAGGCTACAGGTCCGAGCTGTTGAAGGCAGAAGGCTAACCCTCGAAATTATCATGGTAGGTTAGCATTCCTCAGATATCACCAAAGTTCCTTCATTGGACAGGCAATGACAGAGGTAGCTTTTGGGGGCCCACGAATTAGGGAAACAGCTTAGGGGAAATGCCCTATCAACCGGCGAGAACTCAGAATTGACGCCTGCTTGGCAATTGATATCGTGATCTCCCTATTCGCTGAAGTTCTTTTCTTGTATAGAGACTCAGTCTTAACTGCTCCAAGATTGGCTGATAATTTCCCTGTCGTTGATGGCTTATGCCCACACGTGCGTCGACCCACGCCCGCTTGAGCTTCCGAACCTACTTGACTGCAGAGTACATAAGCTAATGATCAGGCCTCGTCTATGATGAGGGGATCAACAGACGAGTATAAAGTATAGGATTTCTCTACTAGATCAAAGTCTTTACTCAGTCGGATAGCTCAACACACCCTGAGATCAAACAATCTGCCCTTGGCACCCCCCTTGACTTTCATCACCTGATCCGAGTCTTTCTCCAAATCACACCATGGTTCGCTTCACGGTGTCGTCGGCCGCGGCTGTCCTCGCCTTCTGCTTCCAGGTCAATGCCACTCCTGTGAACGTTCGACAGGAGGAGGTTCACCCCATAGGCTTCGACGCGAGTTTCGCTTGGCGCTTCCCTGCTGGAGCACCCGTCCCCAAAGTCCAAATCCTCAACGTCGACGAGCTCGTCCATAACTCCACGGATGTCCTGGGATTTACCCCATTCCCATCTGAGGACGATGTGGGCGAGCTAGATAAGCGCTTTATTATTGGTGTCGACGACCGTCACCTCTGGAACGACCCCAACTACCCCTTTATCGCCGTGGGCCGGCTGCTGTTTGCCAACGGCGTCTTTTGCTCCGGCGCCATGATTGGCCCCCGTATCGTTCTCACGGCCAGGCATTGCCATGTCGACGGCACCCCAGGCGTTTTCGCCCCGGGATACGATAACGGTAATCGCTACGGCGAGGCGCAGCTCACTAACGTCCTGTTTACTACCGGCCAAGAACCCAACTCTGCCTGTGATACCAAGGGTGACTGGGCTATATATGCCCTCGACCAGCGCCTCGGCGACCGAGTTGGATACTTTGGTGCCAAGTTACCCGACCATAGCATGCTCGACCAGCCTAAATTCTACCATATCGGCTACCCCGGCGACAAGGACGGCGGCCGCCGGCCGTATCGTCAGACCGATATCACCATCCACTCAAAGCCTCGCACGTTCGACTGTGACTCGACTGGCCCCATCTGGACCAATACTGATACAATGGGCGGCCAGTCCGGTGGTCCTCTCTGGGAGCTTGATGAGAATAGTAACCGCTGGATCTGGGGCACCCTGTCCGTCGGTGTACAGAGTTCTACTGAGACTTACTCGGGATTTGCTTCTGGAAACAACATGGTTGATGGTATTATTTACATGCGCAACCAGTTCCCTTAGATAAACTACAACTGGACCGTTACAGAAGGTCAAAACTAATTAATAACGCAATGTGACTGTCTTCGTTTTCCTAAAGTCTTCAACGTTCTATCCATTTTGTGTCACTGTGGTCTTAGCATACCATTATAAAGAATCTTGCTATATTTAATATAATGCTTAAGAGTATTGTAGTAGTCTTAATTATTTTATATATAGATGTTACTAAAACTTAAATACCTAACAACTAAGATAATACTAATATTACAAAACGGAACTTCCTAGGAGCCAGCTCACGGAGTTAAAAGTGGCTTGTTATATCTATATACTGTTACAATAGAGGTCGTTCCTGAATACTGCTTCATGTCTGGGCTCACAGAGCGAAGTCGGTACTGCGGAACGAAGTCGTTCCGGAAAGCAGTGTCGCGCGGCAATATGAGTGCCCAGCCCACTATATGGCTCTGTGACAAGTAATTATTAAGCTATAAATCTCTCTCCTTTGTGTAGCCGACCTCTAATGTTGTAGAAATAAAAGGGTAGCAGTGACATAAGTGAATAAGCAAGTCTATGTAAGCAGTAATCCTAACCTAGACCTGAAGCCTAGTATATTTACGGCCTAGCTAGTGGAAGGAGCGTGCCACTAGGCTCTTGAGAGATGTGTTTACTGCGATTGGCGATGCAGCATATATTGGATAGCTATTCGCAATGTATGCTCTCAAGGGCAAAAAGACGCCAATCCCGCCCATGTCAGAAGACATTAAAGACATAATTGTGACTAAGTAATGTACTTTATGAGAAGCACGCCACCCATACCAGATCATTGTGATCGGGAGGAGGCCACGAACATAAAACCCCTGTAAGAGCAGCATTTCAGCGTGGCTCGCATATCGAGCTTCGACGGAGCCGGCGAACAAAAGAACCGCGATTGAACTTGCCCTGAGGTGGTCCGTCAACCTCGTACAAGAGCAGATGACGCCCTCGATCTCATCACCCAACTGAGCCGCACACAGGCGCTCTTCATACTCCAGGGCATCTGCCTCTTTGACGGCAACATTAGAGCTTGCGCTCAAGCAGAGATAGACTCATCCACACTCACCAAGTGGTGTCATGCCACCCTGCGACGAGCTACGATAGATGTTGCTTCTAGACTGAGTACCGATCCAGGAGAACCAATAAATCATCCAGGAATAACCCAACTGCGCGCACACAGTACCTCAGCCTCGGCGTGGAAGGCATGGATTCTATCTGAGTCTTTACGCCGAATATGAATCCTCGGTAACCTGACTGAGGCCGCGTTCCTGATCAAGAAACAAAGTTTCTCGGTGTGTCCTGGAAGCCTTGGTTTCACTTGCCAGGCCGGAGTCTGGGATTTGTTTTGTCATCAGGCATGGTTAGCATGTATTAAAAGTAAAAGTAATGTTGACATATCCGCTTCCGCAAGGGGCTGTCCCGACTCATGGACGAGGCTGTATCTACAGATGCAGACGAATTTGCGCTGGTACTGCTAGCATATGGAGAGGGCAAGGAAAGGCTAGACGAGTGGCGTTCTATCAGACGGCACGAATTCGGGCAGTATTAAGCATCCTTATCACGGTAAAAAGGCGGGTATATAGTAACAGTTTAATTCTAACTATGCGTTTAGTAAATTGTTTGCCCAGTCTACTTCTGTTTGTAAACAAGAATGCAGTTGTTGCACTACACTGAAACGCTCTTGACCATGATCAGTCTAGCATCATTAATGACCTTATCTACTCCTCAAAAGTTCGCTCTAAGCCAGCAGGACAAGCTAGCTATCACGATGAACTTATTTGATCACGGAAAGTCATAGGAACACGGCTTGCTTATCTACGCTCTGGACTGCCTAGGCCGGATCGCAGATATACGTGTCTCTATGGTGGATCAGAACGGTGGGTACCGGATTAATAGATGCCCTGGTCCCAGTCGGATCCCCACAAGGCTGCGCGATGTCTTGAAGGCATCGCGACACTAGCATATCTATGTCTAGCCTAGCGGCACGCCAAGGAGTGTTCTCGTCCAGCAGAACCACATTGTTTATAAGTATTACGTAGTCCTTAGACATATTACCCTTGGTGTTCTAAAGGATCTCCTTTAAATTGTAGTCAGGCCAGTCGTGTAGCACATTTAGGAGGTAGTATAATATTACAACTTGTTCAGTATAACAGGACCAAGGTAGCCTAACAGGCACCTGGCAGCTAGAACAAGAGGTATATACGGATACAAGTTTATAGTATATGTTTACCTCTTAATCAGGTATATCTCGCTAAAGCTCAGGTGGCTATCTCCACTTTTATCTTTACTAAGGCCTTACGTAAATGCTAGGCACTAGGCCTAGTGACTTACCTAGGGCCACGTCTAGGATTTGAACTTACAGCGTCGCTAACTAAATACAGAGGGCATACTAATTAAGGCATACAGCTTGTAGAGATAACTGACCTCATGAATGTGATGACAAAAGTGGACATACAGTTGTCACTGCTATGACTGTACTTATATTGTGACAACAGACTGAATGTTTATGCAGGTAACTGTGGGGTTGATTTTAGGCTAATAATCCATCATTCACAATGTCATATCGTATCCGTCTAGGCAGGTAGAAAAGAGAATCCTACGAGAATTTCCTTGGCGTAAGCGCTTAGGGTGCCCAAAACGGCAGGTATTTTAAGCTTGCTAACCGAAGGATTGGTGCCAAGAAGCAGTTCGGTAAGAAGCAAGTCTAAGAGAAGAGGATCCAACAAGCTAGTCTTGATAGGCTCTTGCCAGACTACACGCACGTATTAATAATAATTGAAATTAATGATTACAATCTAAGGAAGATTAGTCTCAAGGGAACTAGGCCAAGCAACGAGTATGGCCCAGGAAAAAAGCATCGCAATCTGGCGATTGCAATTAATACACAAGAGAAAAGTTTTCGCGTTATGAAGAAAATCGATACGTAAGAGAAAGGGCCCCACAAGCTACAAAGAAAATTTGGTTCTGGGGGTATTAGGGGCTCTTGATTATCACCCACAGATGCTTACAATACCACTGTCATAAAGCACTTTTCAGGTGGGAAAGGGCATTGGAAAATGGCTTAACTATCTACGTAGGAGATTGGCGATGCAGCCCATAGAAATATCTATCTACAAGTCGATGGGATAATGACTTCGAATGTGATTAGCATAAAGTGATCTGAGGAAGACATGGGCTATCCTCGACTGAGAAGGTGGCCTGAGTGCCCGAGTCGGAGGAGTTAGCTGCAATACAACCCTGCGCCAAGGGCCGCGCCCACAATAGCTTTACGTTGTCTTCTTCCGCCAAGAGACAATAAATGCAATCAACCTTAGCGACCTAAGCAAAGGAGCACATTGTAGGATTGTGCTTATAGTATTACAACATCATGCTTATGGTATTACGACATCGTGCGTCTTCTTACACATTCAAAGGAGGCTGGTACACAAATTCACTCTCGCTTGTAACCCCTGAAGCCTCAGAGACAAAGGATTACATGAGAAGCTAGCAGAGGAGAGTAGCAGTAGACGAGACTAGGCAACAGGATAAGATGCAACAACGAGACGTCAAAGACTCTGTCATGAAAGTCTTCCAGAAATGCATAAAAGGCTCGCTCCTGTCTCTGTCTGTAGAAGCTCTTGAACCTCCCTCCATCCAACTCAATATCTTCGGCCTCTCAGCAAAGAAACCAAACCGGCATCAAGCAACCTGCATAGCTTCACTCTCAAGATCAATTTCTCCATCTTTACCAAGCAAAATGAAGTTCTTTGCCGCTGTCAGCCTTGTCTCAGGCCTCTTCGCAACTGCCGCCTCGGCCATCGACCTGCACCTCGAGTATGCGGGTGGCTGTAGCACCAGTGGCGGCGGGTTTATCTGCTACAACTGGAATCCCGACACTTGCTGCAGCGTCAACTCGGGTACCTATTTCGCCAGCGGCTCGTTCAGGGCTATCCCGAGCAACTGGAACATCCAGGCCCGTGGCCACGCCGGGCCCAACTGCGGCTCCACCCGCGAGCAGCAGGACAGCGGCGGCCGCGACTACGTCTGCTTGGGTAACGGGCCCTTTGGCGGGCTGGGCTACGGTTTCAACAACAGAAAGATGATCCGCGGTGCGACACTGAACGCCCGCGATGGCGAGGAGACCGAAGGGTGCGCCCAGCCTGACGTCCTGTACCTCGCCGACGGCACTCAGTACAACTACACCGCCATTGCCGAGGCTGGCCAGGCCACCGAGGAGCATGTCTCACTCATCGAGGCAGGCGCATCGGCCGACGACATCCCCAGCTTTAATGCATTCAAGCTCGACGAGAAGCTCGTTCTGTAAACATCAGAAGTGACTTCAGGAGGCATCCCGCTATCAGGCCCTCCCCAAGCCTTGCTCAGATATCCTATTGCGAGTGCTTCAGCTGTTTATTCAGGTCACGATGAGGCTTAGTGCTTGGTATTGAGTTGGTTCATACGTCCCTTACCCTGGAATTTGTCCTTCTCTTGTGGGAAGGGGGTTTCTCTTTCTTTATGTGCTCAGCTTGTCTGAGTATACTTAAATACGACTTTTGAAAATTGCAGCAGTCTAAGATTAGGTACCTAGATTATGAAAACAAGACGTCTGTTGCTGCAAGCTATCTAATAAGCGGTCTCTACGCGCTATAAAGATTCTTAGGTCTCTTTATTGAGCTAAGTGTGACTGCTGTAGCCATCAGATGCGTTAGGTGCTTATACTACTACAAAATAAGCTTTAGCTTTCTACAAATTGGGGGTTAAAACAGTAGCGCATAGTGACTTTCCAATATGTCCTACGACATAAGGTGTGTATAATAAGCACTGAATGAGGTAAAAGGGAGCTGTTGTGGGTGGTCTTTGATTTTAGATGGAAGGTCATCCTTGTAAAAACCTAGCTAAACCACTTCGAGATCTTTATGTACTAGCAACCTTGCGAAAGTATCTGCGTAGCTTACGTGCACGCAATTGGTTTAGCCTAACAGTGTAGCTTAACCTAACACAAATAAAAAATGAGACTGTGGTCTCCCACAATGCTTCGCGAGCTTTCCGAGTCGTGGCGGTCAGGCTGCGGACTCTATCGACGGGGCCAAATATCTGTTTATCTAGCTTCTGCTGCAGACGTTGCCTAGACTCTTCCTGTTTTGTAATCTGTGCCTTGGTGGACGTGTGGGCCTTTTATAAGCGCTGGGGAGCAATTAGGTGAAACGGCTCTTAACGGATAGTACAATCTGTTTTACTGAGATAGTAGGCAGAACCGGCAGTAAATAGGCTTAAGTGGAATCTAGGAGTGGTAAATTGACAGGAATGTGAGTCTACTAACAACATCAAGGCAAATGTATGCTAAAAAGGAAAGGAGGGTAAGAGGTCCTAAGATTTTGAATGTTTGCACAGGACGCAGCTGCTAGGAGCAGCTAGTCTCTCATAGGCAGAAAAATGCAACAGCTAAGTACTAGCCTAATGGCCCATATGGTTCTACTTAAAGAATCCCGCTAGAGCCAGATGCTTAGCAAAATACAAACTAGAATACATATAATATTATTGTATAGGGCAGTTAGATTCGTGAAATTTTGTGGACAAGGACGTGGGCAGCCCTTCTGTCAGCAGTACAGAAACAGTGAGAGAGAGCTAGAGGCAGCCTGGCTACTTATAAGGGTGTTTCTACTGTTGGATAACAGGAGCCACATCTTTAGTAGTCGAATATTACCTGCAATTATCAGGTTATAACAGTAACTTTTAATTCTACTAGATCTATATAAAGTATTTTACCTGTTATTCTGGCCAAGTGTAACTGCTGCTTATTATACTATATTATAAACCAAGAAGTGGAATATTTTAGCATGAACACCTGGAGAGATAGTCTTATGAGACATGACTAGACCATATAGGAGTGCTGTAACACTAGCGTCTTAGCATTCTGACTCATGACTTCTAAGGGGCTTCCCCCTAACGTTTCACCTAAAGCCTATTCCTAAAGGTATTAGATGACGTGTTACTCATTATATACTAGTTATTCTTGCTATATATAAACCAAGTTTCCCTTGTACAGTCGTGCGTTCTACTTCTACGCTCTACTAACTTACACGTCACTCTATAACCTGTTGTTAAATATAACGACAATAACTTAGCAACCCGTCTTTTCATAGGATTACTAAACCTTTTTTTTTAGCAGTAAGTAACGTCCTTCCTTTTTTACTATTGTATTATACTTACAATGTCATAGACTATGCAGGCCTCTTTGATTCTCTCTACACTTTGTACTGCTGTAATTGTCAGCGCTGGCACTACAGTCTGCAATCCTTTGAACTTGCAGTCTACATCAGTTTCCTGTAAAAACGATGCAGGAGATTGCATACAAGGTACATGCAGAGATGCCTTCGCCCTCATTTGCACCTGCCCAGACAGCCACCCTACTGCGACCTGCTACGGAAAATGCTAGATAGTCTCCTTGTTCCAAGAAGACAAACAACAAAGGATAAACATTTGGTGAAGAATATTGTAAATTCCGTCTTACAGGAATGGGGAAGGGGGAGGGGGGAGGGGGGATATCAGTACATAGGGAGCTTATTACATTAGAGGGCCGCTGCGTAAACCCCTAATATATACCCATCCACTACAAATAGGGACTAAGTTACGTAAGTCGCCAGTCCCACCAAATACATACATGACTCCCTGCTAGAAACCTGGGATGGTACATAACTTGAGACAACGTTCTTCCTGCTGACAGCTTGCTTATGATCTCATTTCTTTTTAGAGCGGTTCCTAGGTCTCTTTAGCTTTGTTTTAGACGCTTTTAGCCCATTAGAGCTGTAAGCGTACAGCTAATTATACTTGTGTAGTGTGTGTTGTAGTAGGGTTCAAGCGGCCCCTTCGAGCTTTTGAGAGTAAACGGCCTTCTCTTCTTCTCTTCGCCTAGACTATCGACGGAGAGCATTTTTCGCACCTGTTCGAGCGGAAGGAAGCCGCAGCGCGGCAGAAAATCCCAAGCCCAATTGTCAGGCACCTCCGCAGCAGGGTCAATATTCTCGTCGGCTGAGCCGATGGAGCGGAAGGCGGCCGACTCCCACTCGGCTACGGGCATCAGCTTACCGTCGGCGCCGTGGGCAAATCCGGCAACGCCGATATGCATTGGGAGGATTCTTACCAAAAGTCAGGGGGTCGGTACTGATGGGCTAACCACAGGAGTCCTTCACATCTAGCGTCGCCCCGATCTCACGCAGCCGATGCTCGAGAACTGTGCAGCCCTTGCCTTCCCAGACGCAAACGCTGTTTCGGGAAGTCGAACCGTAGTGCGTGGCACACACACCGGCATCGGCATACTTGTCTTCGATATCGTGCTCAAGCATATCAGCAGTGGTGCCAATACGTGAGAGGGAGGCCTGGAAAATAGGCGTCTCCATCGTCATGTCCGCCATCTCGGGCTGGATCTGGCCATAGGCACGCACTGTCCACCCGCGTTCATTAAACCAGGAGCAAATCTCAAACATCCAGATGGTTAATACAGGTGTTCCATCGCCCAGGGCGGTCCTCGTGGTTATCCCGACCTCTTGTTCCTCCTGGATCTCCAGACTTCAATTAACATAGAAGTCCTTTACAAGGAAAGCGGCGGCGAGCTGGCTCGAAGTACGGCAAGCCGCATTAATTGCACACAACATGCAGGCAGTCATGGAGAAGATGGTAGCGCCGGTTGCGACGTAGTCGCAGATCCAAGGCGTCTCGTCAAGAGTCAAGACCTGACTCCACGCGCGCTCCTCGCCTCCATTCAACATCATTCTTTGTCCAAAAAGATCGAACCAGGGCTCTCCCAGGAACAGCTTTTCGTAGGTAGGCCTCAGCTTGAGCTCATAGCTCATGGACTTGTCCCACTAGTACGCAGGAGCCCCATAGACAACCTTGGCGTTGGTCTTATCGGTCTGATTTACCCCTCCTATGTTGCTTAGAGTGCCTATGGTGAAGAGGGAACAAGCCACATTTACCATGGCGTCAGCGCCACTGGCGTCGCGTGTAGGATAGTAGGTAAGTAATGGCAGACTTTCCCTGAAGCTGAAGCGCATCCACTGGCTTCTTGATTGGGTTCTTCAGGCAGACTAATATCTATAACGATTTTGGAAACTCCTTGTGTGGAGTTGACCTTTCCGCTTGGCGTTGACGTAAAAACGCCCTGGATTGCGTCAGAGAATCGGATGGGGTGTACTGGGCTCTTCACGTTTGAGGCGTTAACTTTTTCTGTTATTTCCCCAGTGACAGGAGAAACAAAGGTCAGACCCGCCGTAGCGGTGCCCTCCTTGCTGATGAATGATTAATTATCGCCACAGTAGTGTTTAATTGCCTATAAATGACTACTAGCTATTACCTCTTTCATGTAGCAGGATTAACAGGCCATTTTCCCTTAAGCTTGCATGCAAAAGGACCTTGCTTTAACGCTGCTTCTAGAACGTTGTCAAGACCTGACTGGTCTCTTGAGATGGTCACGCTCTTGGGGTTGTTGATTACGGCAACAGTTGCGTAACCACCGACATGCTCGTCGGTAAGCTTGTCCGCCTCATATTCGCCCACTCCGAGAGCCAACATGCTCTCTTGCTGGTCTACTGCCGCAAAATCTGAGCGGTAGATTTGCTGCGGAAGTAGGCGATGGCGACAGCTGTTTTAAAGCAAACAAGTCCGGTAGCAAAAGCGGCAGCAATCTCTCCGCTCAAGTGGCCCACGACAGCACTTGGCGCGATTTCCCAGCTCTTGAGAAGCGCCATCAAAGACAACTGCACGCAATTGCACGCTAGCTAGCTGATCTCGGCCGCGTCGACCCGAGACTCTGGTGCTGGTTTGGCAAGCTCCTCAAGCAAAGACCAGTTTAAGCCCATCTCCTTGAGATATTGTTCGGCTTCATCCATGACTTTAGCAAAGACCTTAAAACGCCAGAGCCTGGAGGCGATCTAGGCATACCTAATGCAACAAATGAGTCTTCTATAAGACGTATGCCAGAGGACTTCAGGGCACTTACTCTACGCCTTGTCCCGTGACAGCAAAGGCGATAGTCCAGTCCTTAACGCTTGTTAGCTCTGCCGCCCTGAGATTTTCCTGCAAGCTCTCGATTAATTCGGCAGCAACGGTAGCGCGATACGCGTAGTTAGTGCGACGTTAACCAAGGGTATAGCTAAGGATCATTAGCAACTTCTTCTATGTCGGGGGTCTCGTCAAGGTATTCATCAAACAAAGCCAGATAGACAGTAAGTCTCTTCTCCTCCGTGTTATAGGATGTTAGGTATCACTTGGCAGGTCAGCAGACTTAGCCGGTTACCACCGTCATTTTTACACGTTACGCAACATTCCGCAGAACCAGTAGGTTGGCAATAGCCGCCCCTTGGCAAACAGGCAGGCGAGCTACACCTAAGGACAAAGAGACCAGTCGCCAAGCCACTAGGGGTGCTCTTACCACGGGAGCCTAAGTAGTTGGAGAGCCACCCGAACAGTGTACCTAGGTGTCTAGGTAGCCAAAACACTTGGCGGAACCGCGCCGCACCCGTGCCGCATGTCTGGTCTAATAAGTGCCTTTGCTTTGCTGCTTGCCAGTGGTGTCAAGGAAGGAAGCTGTGGGTTGTTCTTCTTGCTTCCCAATTTCCCTCAACAAGTAGGTCAAGCTGTGCTTACACACTTCATTCCAGTTTTGCCATCTCGTCCCATCCAGGATAGGAAGGAAATAATGAATGGTAATTGGCTGATAATGCTGAGGGCAAAGTAGTAGTTATCCCGCCAGCTTTGGAGCCCATTGGATGGCTAAATATTATGCTAAAGGGTGGTGGTAATGAGGGCAACAGGCAGCAGCATCTCGAGATAACATAACACCCCTTCCTGCAAGGGTACTGCTTTCCATTCTTTCTCCCCGTGTCTGTCGTCATTTCTCTTTTTGTTTTCTTTTACTCTTTTTTATTTTTGACTTGTTCTTGAATAACTATATCAATAGTAATTATAGATATCTATAATAATCATAAGAGCTACACGACTATTAATAGCAACAATGAAGTTTTGACATAGCTTAAAGGTAGTAGTTAGCTTAGTTACAGTAGGTGGAAGTATCTGCTCTAGCAGTAAAGCTTTGTGAGATAATGCGTTGTTGCGGGAAGTCCTATTTGTTATATAAACTTTCTACACACTAATCTTGTTCTAGGGCACTATTAAATGAGTGAAGATCTATTGCGTTCCTAACGCTGATAAGTCATTGATCGAGTGGAAGACTTCCCTTCCACAATCTCTCTATGACTCTCCTTTGTCATTTGGTCAACATAGCCTTGATAGATCAGAGATCATGTTTTAGCAAATGTTCGAATGACTCTTCTGCATGCTTCTCTGCGTCAAACTCAAGTATCCAATCTTCTCTGGGCAGTGCGATCCTCTGAGGGTTCTCCTTCACCTTATTCCAGTCCGTCTTGTGCCAAAGATCTCGTGTCGACAGCCCGGTCTGCTGTACAGCTTTCACGCGCTCGTACCTGTTATTTGTGTCTCAGCTCCAATGATCAACACTTTCACAACGGGTTCAATGCTCACCGCATCTCTTGGTACGTCCTCAGAGCTGTAGGAACATTTTCTTTCCCGGCGCGTCTCAGGCAAATCGCAATTGTCACGCCGTCTTCCATTGCTTGCGTGGCTCCTTGGACACTTGTCGGCAAGAAAGGATGCACTGCATCTCCAAGTAGTGCAATCCTGCCACCGTTGCTGACCCAGTTTGGCAAGGCATCCCGGTAGACCAGCTTCCAGTCTACCAGTGACGGTGTCTTCTCTACAATCACCTTGCAAAGCGGATCCCAACCTTCAAGCGCTTTAAAAACGTCTTCTAACTTGCCAGGTAGCGACCACGACTCGTCAATGTCGTACTCGTCTTTGTGGGTTAGTACCCAAGAAGCGTCTTTACCACCTTTGATGGTCGAGAACAGGAAGTGAGCGTCTGGTCCAATCCAACCATTGAACGTGTCGCCATTCTCGCAAAACTCCTTTGTTCGAGGGTCTGCGAGCAGGGCGTCGGCAGAAAACCTGTAGATTTGAGTCAGTGTGCTTAATCACTTGCCCTGATGAGATGGCATCTTACCATGCTCGCCATACTGCGTAGCCACTGCTTACCGGCTTTTCCTTGTGATTCAGTACAAGCTCCCTCGCTTTAGACCGAACACCGTCGGCTGCAACCACTACATCGGCATCGATCTGACTTGTCAGTCAGTAAATCGGACTCATCATTCCAGCTGACTCTTATCGCAATTGAGACAGAAGCAGTAAGACAAACCTTTCTGCCATCCTTGAGTTGGATCCCAGCGCCACCCTGACTTTCGAAGTAATTGACGACCGGCTCTCCCAGATGAATGGGAATCTTCAACTCGTCTCGCGCGTAGTTAAACACAATCTCATGAAGCTCGCCTCTGTGGCCATTCAAAACCGGCGCCTCGGGATCAGGAGGCGGTCTTCTTTGAGTCAGGACGACTTCTCCAGTATCCCACTTATGGATCCTGAAGCCGTAGTTCTCGAGGTTTATGCTCAAGGGACGTAGTCTTGAGACGACATTGCCATTGGACCACCGATGAAAAATCCGACCGGCATTCGGACCGAAGGAAATGATGTCTCCCAGCTGCTTCAGTTCCGGAAACGACTCGTAAACCACGACATCGTGTCCTTGCCGGTGGCACTCGATTGCTGCGGTCAAGCCACCAAAGCCAGCGCCGACGATGATGACTTTGATCCTGCTGCTGGGCTTTGGTGGGTTAGACATGATGGAGGATTGTAAACTTGAAAAGGGCAAGTAGTTTTAAGCGTGACGCAGTCTCAATGCTCAAAAAACCTGGGATTACAGGTGCTGCTATTCATCAAGACAGTACCGGCATTCAAAGTGACCTTATGTGACAAAAAGAAATCTGGCAGAAACTTTGCCATACAGAAAAAGAAGAAGAGCATTTGCCGCGAAACACGATTTATTCCCAAACATCTGCCGTGGGGTTCCCTCTCGAGGCGTTGCACCCCGCGTTTGGATTTACCCCGCATGAGCCAGCCCTCTGATAATGTCTTCCGGTCATTGTTCGAACGGCTACATACCCGCATCGTGGAGGCGCTCGCCTGTATCTATGGCAAAGCTCGTTGGCGCTTGGCCAGCGTCCATTCCCAACCAGTCACTCTGCCGTGCCACGTCTTGGGTGCGATGCAACATCATCACCTGTTCCAATGTTAGCTGCACTGATCCCTGCCTGTCTTTGTCGGTCCTCCACATGGCCTAGAGCCACCATGTTACCCTCCGCACTTTTTGAAAGCTCTGAATAAGCACACGGCTAGAGGCAGCGGAAGATAAATAACAGAAATGCCCGAGATACGACGCCAGGGGTTTGTAACGGACGCAGTCTGCTGTGTTGGCGTTTTCTCAAGTAGTTTCGCGTCCCCTTGGAAACGACGTCTCCCCCATTCGGCTTCTAAAGTTCTCCTTAACTTCTGCGCCTGAGCTTTCTCTCTCCACAATTTGCTACTCTTGCTGAAATGAGAGAACGCCGTCCGGATGGCATTCGTGCCAATTGGAGGTGTTTCGTCGCCTGCGGAGTGGTGGTTCTCTCCCCGTTCCAATATGGAGTTGATTTTGGAATCATCGGTGGCTTACAGGCCATGCCTGGGTTTCTTCAGGTTTGTGCTCCAACCATTGTGTATCACCGCGCCAGGCCAATTGCTAAACCTGGCTCTGAACAATAGGTCTATGGTTACGAAGACTCCAAGACATCCATCGGATGGAACATATCCACCACCCGCCAACAGTTAATCTCCTCTCTCATGACCCTCGGCGCTTTCATCAGCTCCATGCTTGCAGGAGCAATTGCCTCAAAATTGAGTCGAAAGATGTGTCTGTGGCTATCCTGTTTGTTCTGCATAGTGGCCAACGTCATTATGATGACGACAGCGCACATTGCAGCGCTGTATGTTGGTCGCCTGCTCATCGGCTTGGGTAATGGTGGCTTCATGACGTTCTCTCAACTTTACATTCAAGAAACGAGCCCAGCAAAGTATCGCGGACTGTTCATGACCGGCTTTCAGTTCTGTGTGACGATTGTGAGGATGCGCCTCCATTGATGCCAGCAGGTAATTACTGACTGAGTATGCAGGGAACTCTCATCGGTACAATCATAGACTGGGCGACCGCTCAACGTCCCGACAAATCGGCATATTTGATACCACTAGGAGTTGTATATGTTGTCCCTGTTTTCATCACTGCAGCACTTTTCTTCATCCCCGAGTCGCCTCGGTGGCTGATCATGAGAGATCGGGTTGAAGAAGGGAGGAAGGCTCTGATGTGGCTGAGGCCCAAAGGCGTAGATGTTGAGGACGAGGTCAACGAGATTCAAGGTGTGGTGCTCGAGGATCTTGAGACGAAGAAGTCAGTAACATTCTGGGACATGTTCAAAGATCCCGTGGACCGGAGGCGGACTATTAGCTCCATCGGCGCAGTATGCTTGCAAGGTGCCTCGGGCTCGATGTTCATCATTGGTAAGTCCCAACTTGAGGCAAGCGGTCCTGTGCAGAGACTAACAGGTCCAAGCGTACAAAGCGTACTTCTTCACCATTGCGAGGGTCGAGCACCCCTTTGCCATGACCAACGTTTTGTCCACCTGCGGCCTCCTAGCAATCATCGCAAATGCACTGGTTGTGGTGCGCTACGGTCGCCGTCGGGTTTTCCTTCTCAGTGGGCTTGTTCTATCCGGCTGCTTTCAGCTGATCATGGCAATTACCTTTGACAAGCATCCGAACACAATCTCAACTGGGAACTTGCTGGTCGCAATATCGTGCTTGTTCATGATAGCCTACAACGTAAGCTCGCATTCTCTTTATGATGCCCATATCAGTACTAACTTGAACTACTCTAGGGGATGATTGCGCCGTATTCCTGGATGGTCGCCGGTGAAGCTCCCTCTCAACGCCTCCGTAGCTACACCTTAGGTGTTGCGTCAGCAGCCGGATACTTCCTCGCTTGGCTCATCACCTTCACTGCGCCGTACTTTATCAACCCGAGCGCTCTGAACTGGGGTCCCAGATATGGATACATCTGGTTCCCGTCATGCATCATCTCGGCTATTTGGGCGTATTTCTACATACCAGAGCTCAAGGGTAGAACACTAGAAGAGATAAACCAAATGGTGAGGCTTCATTTTTGCCAACCGTTCAAAGGCTTCGGTTTTTTCTAACCACGACCCTCATTTAGTTCCACGCCCGTCTGCCGGCTCGAAAGTTCCGTCAGTTCCAAACCACCACCGTATCACGGAAAGTGAGCCAGCCCAAGGCGGACTTTGAAAGCATCAAGGTCGAAATGCTTGACAGAGCATGATCTATGTGATAGGGTCAATGCTCGCAAAATTATGGCGATCATAAATGGTGTTTGTCTGATGGAATAGCTTCGTGTGGCTAGTGCCAGCAGCGCCGCCACAGATGTGGCGTACCACCCGCATGGACCGTGTAGAAAAGGTATTTCTACCGCTTCTCCGGTTCATACGTAGTTTCTTAATAGGACAACTACTTTTCTCTCATATGACAAGACGCTGCGGTTCATCACACTTAAATTGCTGCTTCTGAGAAGCAGTCAAGAACATGGATCGGCTGGCTACAATCATAGGAATTGGAATGCTTCAGAGAGAAAAAGAAAGTAGGAAGTCTTAATAGTTGCTTCAGTCAACTTTCCCAGTATTAATAGGTTGCAAGACTCCCCACAGCAAGTCCAAAATTGGTGGTTGCTTGTGTAAGGCTGGCTGAAAAAGGTTTGCAGGCATGCAAGCCATCGTCACTCCCGCGACCTCGGCCCGCATTCAATTGAATAGAAGCAGACTAAGCGCTTTCCCTCTCCAACATCTATCTACACTTATACGTATACCAATGCAAGAGTTTTATGTTGGTTAGACAAAGCAGAGATGGAAGTCTAATCATCGCGTTCCCACACTTATAATCTTGGCGCTGTGTTCAGCGAACCGCATCTAGAGTCGGATTGAAAAGCAGGGTTTCGTCATTACGCCATGCTGAGCGGTGATAATCAATACAATCACCGCCGATAACGCACAGCACAACGCGATAATAACCATCCGAATCCCAACTGGCTCGAGAAAAAACCCTCCGATTGACGTCATTTCAATCCAGTTCCGAATCATGAAGACCTCCAAACTCGCCAGTCTCATCTTTGCGGTCGCAGCATCATCGGCCCGGGCTGCATCGTACACCGAAGCTCTCCTCGCGCTGCACAAGTCCCTCGTGGGGGTATACTCAACCTCCAACGCCGGAGCACCTGGAACTGAGGTCCTGAAGACGTATCTCGAGAACAATTTCACCGCCGAACTGCAAACTATCGAAGGTAATCACCAGAACGTCTACGCCTATTCTTGTAGCTTCCGCGAGGCCCGCGTGCTGCTCACCTCACACTACGACACTGCGCCGCCCTAAATTTCGTACTCTCGCAACGGCAACAAGATCCGTGTTGCGGGATATCCGATGCAAAGGGCAGTATCGCCGCTCAGGTCACCGCCGTAGAAGACCTTCGCACGAGCGGTGAGATGCGCGAGGGGGGTGTTTCTCTCCTTTTCGTTGGTGGAGAACAGGTGGGCGGCAACGGGATGAAGGCGGCCAACAACTGCAACCTCACGTAGGAGGCCGTCGTCTTTGGCGAACCAACAGAGAACGAGCTCGTAAGGGCCCACGAAGGCGTACTAGGGCTCAATGTCACGGCCTCCGGCATCGCCAGGCATTCTAGGTATCCCGAGCAGGGCCGCAACGCGATTGATCTCCTTGTGCGTTCATTAGGGGCAATCATTGGCGTTGAGCTGTTGTCCTCTAAGGACTTTAGCAGCACGACCTTGAACGTTGGCGTGATTAAGGGTAGGATCGCAAGTAATGTCATCCTAGAGAATGCGAATGCGAGAGCGTCTATTCAGGTCGCCGTCAATACTACACGAGAATATATTAGCCTCTCTGTTAACACAGGCAGGGAGCCTACTAGCTTAGACTGCAACGTTAAGGGCAAGCTGTAACTGTTAAACAGTAGGGATTATGGTATAATTATATTAGTTAGTTATTATGTAGCGGTTTGCAGGGAAAACCCTATATGGATTCGCTATGTTTAACAGTAGAGACAGACAACACAACATTAATAGAACAAGGATTGTTGCTAAATATACATATATACTTTAATAGCTAGGCCCCCTTGCGCCCGTTGTGTTTGAGGGCGGTTAGGGGTTCTCCTAATGTGTTGCCGACAGTTACCTAGCGGCATTGCCTATTTCGGTCGCGCGCGGCCAATTGCCCCACTTTACCTACTGTTGCCTACGCACTTCAATAATCGGTAGCGGTTAACAGGCAGACACATTGCGGGGCTGGCATCTGTGCGCATGCGTACCTCAGGGACTTTCGCCCTGGCGGCCACCTATTTCTCCTGAAGTCAGCATTAAACCTAATGAGGCAGTGTAGGGGGCATACCAGGGGGGCCAGCATAGATATACCTACATCTGTACCTATATATAAACACTTTATATACCTACTATATTAACTATTATTTTTTTTCTCTTTTATATTACTACTATTTATCTTTTTATTAATAATAAGGTTTATATTTTTATTTTTTACTAGGTTACTTACTATAATATTAAAAAGTATAAATAAACTATTATAGCTAACTAAAGTACTTTATTATTAATTATTAAGTATAAGACCTACTAGCTAAGTAATAGCCTTCTTTACTTATATTATATACTAAGTAAAGTAATTAGGTTACTTATCATAATAAGCCTTCTCTTATTAATAGTATTAATTTAATAAAACCTTTATATAGCTTTAAATAGTAAGCCTAGAGAAGATAAAAATACCTTTATAGTTAGCTATATATAGTATATAGTATACCTTATAATCCTTATATATCTTATACCTAGCCTTACCTTAGCCTTATATTTATTACTACTAGTAGGCACCTATAATATTATCCTTAGTTATAGCTTATTAGAGAATATATTAGTAAAATAAAACCTACTACTTATAAAAGCTATAGTTATATACTAGCCTATTATTATTTACTTATATATTATAATATAAATCTAAACTATTAGTAGTAGCTACCTTTGCCTTATAAAGTTTACTAGTAATTAACTTTTATATAGGTATAAGTAAGTAAAAAAGATAAGATAAAACTTATTATTTATAAAGGACTTTACTATAAAAGTTTATAAGGTATAGCTTAGTAATAGTAAATTATTTACTATTAATATAGTTAATATACTTAATAGCCCCTTAGAGGCTAAATTACTAGAGTATATAATAGTAGCTATACTTAATAACGCTATAAAGGCCTTTAAGTAGGTTAATTATTTTAGCCTAGAGTAGTAGTAGTAAATAGTTATAAGTATAGTTAGCCTAGAGATTAAGTGTTAGTAGCTAGTTATTTTTAATATAAGTAGCTTTCTTATATATTAAACTTTTTATTATAGTAGTAATAGATTTATAATAACCTAGCCTTATATAGTAATATTTTAATATAGAGATTATATAGTATAAGCTAATTTAATATTTTATAAGATAATAATAAAAAGTTCTTTTATAATAAATATAGTAAAAGAAGTATAATACCTTTATCTTACTATTTATAAAGCTATAAAAAGTATTATATATAGTATATTATTTAATAGCTAAATTATTAGTAAAAAAGTAATATAACTACTAGTTAGCCTAGCCTTTTAATATATATAAGTAAGTAGTAATAATATTAGTATTACTTTTTCTAATAAAAAAGTAGTTAACTAGTATTTAGTTACCTATAGTATTTTTAACTATAACTATATAAAGTAGCTAGCTAAACTAGTTAGTTTAGTAAGTAATATCTATTATAGTAAAAAGGCTATATTACTATAATAATATAAGGCTAGCCTTAGAGGCCTATATAAGCCTTTTACTTACCTTATTAGTATATTAGACTATATAATACTAAAATAAGAGGTTATAGGTATAGTAATAAGCCTTAGCTTTAGTAACTTATAGGTACTATAAATAGTTATAGTTAATAAGGTAAAAGTTAAAGTAAGTAGCTAGCTAGTAGTAGCCTATATTATATATAACTTAATAAGAAAGCTAATAGCTACTTATAGTTACTAGCGCCTACTTAATAACCTTATAGTAGCTAAAGTAGCCTTAGAGTATATAGTAGACTTTAGTAGGTAAATAACTAAGGGTAACTTACTTAGTAGTAAGGTCTTTAATACCTTATAGTAAGTAGATTTAATTAAGGTATTTAAGTAAGTAGTTATAAAGGCCTAGGCTAACTTATAAAATAACTACTATTATAGTAAAATTACTTATTTATTACTTAATAACTTTAGTATATATAAGGTAACTAGTGCTTACTTATATAGTATAGTTATAGGTTATTATAGCTTTACTACCTTAAGGCTTATTAGCTTTAATTAACTAAAGTAAGTAGTAATAGTAAGTAGTAGTAGTATTACTAAAGGTATAGCCTTAAGCTTTAGTTAAATTAAAAAAATTACTAATAAAAGCCTATATTTATTTAAACTTAGTAGTATTTACCTCTATAGGCTTAGTAAAGTAAAAGTATTACTTATAGTAGGTAGTAAGGTTATTAAGTATAATAATAAGGCTAGTCTAGGTCTTAAGGATATATAAGGTAAGTCTTAATAAAGTAAATAGTTAAATAAGTAAATAAGCTAGTAAAAGGAATATTTTTATTATTAAGCTTCTTCTAAAAGTCCTCTAGGTTAAAGTTAACTATATTATCCTTATAGTTAGGTAGTAAGAGCACTTAAAGAGTTATAATTTTATTATCTAATATATTAATTATATTAGCCTTACTAGTAGTTAACAAAGGGATATCTAATACTATAGTAATATAAAGAAAACAATAATAATAAGGTAAAAGGTTAATTAGTAATAAATAATATAGTTAATAATAGGTTAGTAGTAATAGGTTAATAGTAATAGGTTATTAACTTACTGTTGTTATATATAAGTAGGTAGTCTAGTTAACCTTAAAAAAACAAGGAGGATAAAGTAGACCCACATTAACTAGATTAACTAATTAGAATATCTAAATATATCTATTATTTTAATATAATTAATGTTAGTTACAGTGTAGTACTTCAGGGGCCCGTGGGCAGACCTGCAATGTGTCTGCCTGTTAACCGCTACCCAATAATCTCCTATACCTGAAATGCACCTGAAACTTGCGGCACTGCCTATTGCCCTACTTTGCCCACGCTTCGACACAACCTACCTGCCGCTCTTAGAAAAAATAAAGTCGGCGCTAGTTTGTAATGCTGTGTCTCTGGCACTGGCACGAGGCGTCTATCGGGGTTGCTGCCAGCTGACGAAGAACAGCGATTATAATCCAACAAGAAGTAGAATCCGCAGATTAAATACAGAATAAAGTCTGGGTGCGCGCGGCGGACATAGGGGAAATGCCATTAGCCGCGTGTGACTTAGTAGGCTGATACCTGAAGTGGGTAATGCCACTAGGAATTGTCAGCAACATTTCCTGGATGGACTTCCCCAGCCAAATCAGGGGTTTCCAATGACACGTGCATTTTTACCCCTAAGATCCTACATTTGCGCGAATAATGGATGCGCAGTAGAGTTATGTATTCCAATGCATATAGCACATAATAATTAAACAAGGATATTGCGTATAAGTACTTCAACAGTAGTAGTACATATAGTAGGAAATCAACCTACCCCTTGGATGAACTAAAGCTTAGAGATTTTATTGCCAAGAAATCTCTCTTTAAGGCGTTAGGCAAGCTGAAACACTACGCTACCTTGTGATTGTTCTGTTAGAGATTAAATGAGTCATGGTAGCACGTGGTTTTAGCAGGTTGCAGCCGTCGCAGGAATAAAACTCTATACTACGTATCAATAACAATCAAGAACTATTTCTATTAGTAAACCCAACGACTTAAAAAGAAATGTAGTTCCCTTTACTTTTCAAATTGTCTGTTGATCTCTATTCTTATACTAGTTGCAGATACTTTCCTACACTTCCACTTTAGTTTTTAACCTTGTTTGTTTTCAGTATTTACTACCACTATGCACGCCTTCAAAATCATCTCTACCTCTCTGTCTCTGCTAGCTGGACTAGCTGCTGGCGCGACCACCCACTGCTGCAATAACGGAACAGAAGATGTTAAAGACTTCTGTGGCTCGCAAAGCACTCTGGATCATAAAATAGTAGCGTTTTGCGTAAGCTCCCATGTCCTCAGAAACACTTATACCTCAAGTGCCTAACTAAAAATATTTATTATAGTGCGGCGACACAGATCCTAATTCAGACACTGGGTGTGATGAAGATATAAACTTCCCAACAGGACGGGCAATTTCAGTAGCTGCTGCCACAACCTGCACTTCTGGAGGCCAGACTGGTTTTATTGCATGTAGCGTATAAAAGACTATGTCTTTACTCCTATCGTGTCAACATATCCTCTCCCCGTTGATAAAGGCTGTTTAGAGGGAAGATCAGAGACAGTCCTTTTAGTAGCCTAGAAATACTGTTGATATATTATTTTAGCAGCGTTGATTAAATACCACCGCTAGTACACGTTGGGCTGGTTGTAATCCCTAGGTCATAAGCTTCCCCTGTTCTAGAAGGTTTATGGTTACAAATATAAGAAATTAGACTTTGTGCTACCACCTGTTTTAAATTTGACTATAACGTGAGTAGCAACTTTCAAGAGCTGTGGCTTCTCTTTAATCCTGGCGTTCTTAGCTACGTCTACAACCTTTAGGCTTTATATAGCCCCTTATTAGAGGGGTTATAGTACTAAGTAAAGAAGTCTATAAATAGTATAGTTAAAGGTTAATTATAACTATTTTCTAATCTACTTTCTCCTAATTCTTCTGTTCTTATAAACTCTGCTTTTATATAACCCTTAGATAATAGTTTTCCTAGTTATAGCCTTATAGCTAGTAGTCCCTAGTGCCTTTTACCTTTAGCACCTAATATAATCCTCCCTCCTTAAGGTCTTGTCTTTAGGACCTTAAGTAGTACTTTAGTAGGCCCCTAGGGCTTTACTACTACTTAGTATCTTAGAGGTATCTAGGAATACCTCTAGGCTTAGTAGGTTACTAAGTAAATAGTTATCTCTTTAGCTAGCTAATTACTTTTAACTTTACCTTTATAACTATTATAGTTTAACTAGGCTAAGATTATTATTTTTTTAAGGTTATAGTTATTTTTAGCTAGGTTATAAGCCTTTATTATTTAACTAGCTTTACTAAAGGTTACTTACTTTATAATAAAGATACTTTATTTACTTATAATACTTTTATTACTTTTTTATCTCTTTAACTATAATACCCTCTTAAGTACTATATACTTTTAGTAGGCCTTTATTATATAGTTACTTTTTTTATTACTTTTATTTTTTTATAGCCTAAGCCTTAAGTTATACTACTTTTATAATAAAAAAAAGCCTTTATTTTACTTTTTAGTAAGCTATACTAGTAACCTCTTAGGTCTTATTTTTTTTTTTTTATTATTTTTTTTTTACTTTATAGGCTTAAGATACTATTATAACTTATTTTATTATTTTTACTTAGCCTAATTAAGTAACTTTTTTAGCTTTACTTTTTTTAATTTTTTTACCTTTAATTTTTTTTCTTTTTTTTTAATAGCTTTACTTTATTATTATTTTTTATTTTTTTATTTTACTACTACTACTACTATTACTACTATTACTTAGTAGTAATAATAATAATAATAGTACTAGTATTAGTACTAGCTTTTTTATTACTACTATATTTTTTTTTACTTTTACTAATACTTTTACTAATAATATTACTACTACTACTATTAACCTTACTACTACTAGTCTTACTAACTAAAGTAGCTTTACTAGTCTTCTAGTGCCCTTTTTTACTTTACTTACTTTTTATTACCTTTATACTTATATTAAAAAAATAAGCTTATTTATAATATACTTTATAACTACTATATTTACTAAATAACTAACTAGTGTTTTAGTATATTAGGCACTTATACTACTACTTTTTTTTACTATATAAAGACTACTTATATATTTTTTTTATACTTAGTACTTCTTTAGTACTTTCTTCTTTATTACTATAACTAATATATTTTAGCTACTAGTAATAAGTATACTTACTATACTATTATATATAGTAAGCCTTATATTTTAGTATATTTATTTTTACTTTTATTATTTTTATAACTTTTAGTAGCTATTAACCCCTTAAGTAAACTATTTATACTACTACTATAGCTAGTATTAAGCTATACTACTTTTTTAAAGCTATAAACTATTTTACTAAGCCTACTTATATTTACTATAGTATTACTATATATTTACTTTTTCTAGTGCCCCCTTAGTAACCTTTTATACTAATATTAGCCTAGGACAAGATTAATAAGGCCTAGGTTATAGCTAAGAAAATACTTTAGTACTAAGTTAACTTAGCTAAGGCTTCTAATACTAAGTATAAGGCTAAGGCTAAAAAAAAGAAGTAGCTTTTTTACTAGTACTATATTATAGCCCTTAAGACCTTTACTAACTTTTTTTACTACTAGGTTAAGCTAGTTAAGTTTATACTTTATACTACTAAGGTTACTACTATAGTCTTTAAGGCCTAGACTATTACCTTTTAAAAGTAGACTACTACTATTATAGCTTAGACTACCCTCTTTTTAAAGTAGTCCTAGACTTACTTTTAGGTTATAAGTGTTTTCCTTAATACTTTCTTAGTGTTCTTTTAGTACCTTTTATACTAATTACTAACTTTTTTTTAGTATACTAGTAAGCTTAACTCTAAGGCTAATAAAAATAAAGGTAGTACTTTTATATTCTTTATATTTTTTACTTATAATAATAATAATAATAATAATAAAAATATTAATAATAGTAATTTAGAGAATAATAAGTAAAGTAGTAAGTAAGCTTTACTACTATTACCTTTAGTGCCTCTTTAGCCTTTCTTTTAGTCTATTTTCTTTTACTTATTATACTTTTTAAATACTTAGCCCTTAGGCTACCTATATTCTTTAGCCTTAGTACTATAATAATTAAATCTTTAATTTAGTTATCCTTAGGCTAATCTTTACTTTACTTAGTTATACTTTTATTTTCTTTTAGTAACCTTTTACTTATAGTTATATTATAATCCTTTTATAATATTCCTCTAAGGTTCTTAAGAGGTTTCTTCTTTATTATACCTCTTTTACTTAATAAAGTACTACTAATTTTACTATAGCCCCTTATAGGCTATAATTTAATCTACTTTATATATATTTTCTTCTTTTTCCTTAATTAGTATTAGTTAAGGCTTTACTAGTAATCTTTAGAACTTCTTTAGCTAAAATAAAAAGAAGATATTATAGATCCTATATTTAGTACTTATATTTATCTTATAGGCCTTACCTTTATTAACTACTTATTTTACTATAAAAAGGCTAAGGTACTTATTTAATAGCTTCTTAGATAGTCTCTTTTACTTAATAAACTTAGCTAATAAAAAGACCTTTTCTTTAACCTTAAAGTCTATATTAGACCTCCTAGTATTATACTACTTCTTATAGGCCTAATTAACTACTTTTAATATCTTACTAATTATAGTTCTTTAGCTTTATAGTTACTTTACTTTCTTATAGGCCTTAGAGACCTTTATTAGTTTTACTTTTACTAAGTATATATTATATATACTCTATAGTATATAGCCTATTAGTGCCTTTACTAGTATAACTTTAGTTATACTATACTATAAACTATTATAAATAAATTTAGCTATAGGTAACTATTTTACCTAGTTATTTTACTTAATATTATAAAAGACTTAGAGGTAGTATTTAATATTTTAGTTTTACCTCTTTATTTATCTATTAGTTTAGGGGTAATAGGCTATACTAAGCTTTTATTTAATAGCTAGCTAGTAATATACTACTACCTAAAAGTAACTTATAAATAAGGACCTATAATCTAATACTATTAAGGTTAAAAGTCTAAAATAAAAGAATACTTTATTTACTAAGAAGGTTACTAGCTAATCTACTATTAAGGTTTCTTTAATAAGTAAATAAATAGTGTACTTTATAAGCTTATTAACTATAACTAGAATACTATTATATACTTTACTATTAAATTCCTTTAACTTTAGTAGCTTAGTAATAAAGTCTATAGTAACTTACTTCTATAGTTAGTTAAGTAATAAAAGGGAAGCTAGTCTTCTATAAGGTAGATAATACTTTAGTTTTATATATTAGTAAGTAGTATATATATTAATATACTCCTTAATATCCTTTTTTATTAATTTCTAGAAAAATATTTATCTTATATATTTTATTATTTAGGTTACTTCTAAGTACCTCCCTAATAGTTTATTATAAATTACTATAAGTAGCCTTATTTTTATTATATATCCCTCTAGTACTATAAGCCTACTCTAGTATTAAAGTAATCTATTTTCCTCTTTAGCCTAGTAACTCTCTAGTTATTACTACTCTTTAGACTAAATCTACTTGTCCTCTAGTTATACTACTATAACTTTTTCTTCTAGAGTAGTAGTAAGTCCCTCTAGGGCTACTATATCTTAACCTAGTAGTCTACTATACCTAATTACTATTATCCTCCTTTTAAACCTACTAAAGAAGTTCTCTAAGAATATACCTTATACTTCTTTTTTTTCTTTTTACTAGGCTAGTAGTTTAGCCTTTATAAAAGCTTATTTACTATATTATCTTTACTTAAGTAATATTTAATTTTAAAATTAAATAATAAAAAGTCTTATAGTAACTTAGCTTAGTAGCTATTAAGTTATAGCTTAGTTACTAAGTAGTAGTACCTTAGGTAGTCTATTAGAAATATAATATAGTACTAAGTATATAAAAGATAGTACTTTTAATATATAGCTACTTCTTAAATTATAAGTAACTTAGCCTCTAGTGCTCTATAGTATAGCTTTACCCTCTAGAGTTTTTATAATATATAAGCTATAGAGCACTAGGCTTCTTTATAAAGCTAGCTTAGTACTACCTTTATTATAAAGTTAAATATATTTATTTTAACTTAAATAGGTAATATAAGGTTAAAATACTATAAGATAAAGGTATAAGTAAATATAGTGTAGACTTTATAAAAGGCTTTTTTAGCTTTTTTTATAATTACTTACTTCTCTACTACCTTAGTAAATAGTTAGTTAATAAAAAAGAAATATACCTTAGAATAGTTCTTAATAAACTACTTATAAAAATTTATAAACCTTAGGAAAGTCTATATCTCTTATACACTAGTAAGTAGTAGCTACTAAGTAATTACTTTTACTTTCTCTTATTTTATTAAAATACCTTTATTAGATACTATAAAACCTAAAAAGCTAATAGACTTAGTATAAAAGAAGTACTTCTTAAGGTTAGTATATAGCCTTATAGTGTCTAACTAGCTTAGTACTATCTTTACTACCTCTATATAGCTCTCTTTATCCTCTATAAAGATTAAGATATTATCTAAATAAATAATATAGATAATATTTACTAGACTTATTAAAGTATTATTAATATAAGATTAGAATATTATAGGTATATTAACTAGCCTAAAAGGTATAACCTAATACTTATAGTGTTTATAGTAAGTATAAAAAGCTA